GACAAGAACAACTAGTTAAGATTAAAGTTGCAGGCTATTAATGGCATATTGCATTTACTAGCATGGCTATTTCTTGGTTGAAGATATATACATAAAATAATAATAATAGTAATAATATATTTATTTACATGATCTCATTATCAAAACATGGATTCATATCCAAGCGCAACCGGTCAAGTTCTTACCGCACTGAAAACTCCTAATTGTGCCAAAAAAACACCAATGACCTCCAACACATCTTGCAGTTTGTCCATCAATGTCACAAAATCGACACCTGCCACCGCAGAGCGCAGTGGCCCAAGAAAGTGTAGACCCATTGGCCAAGAATCTATGGAGTTGTGAAAGAGTAAGATTCCCTTTGTCAATATACGCATCACCACTTGGCTCTACCATCGTCACTTGCAAGTGTATAGTACAATTGTCCATTAACTTAGATGGCCATGTTGTCACATCATCGTCAGTTAGATACCCTATGTACATGTGCTTGTTTGTATCCGACACGTTGAGACCACACTCAGCACCAACATCCACGAGTTGGGAGCTGTTGACAGGTTGTGGACAGCTAATAAAATTCATCCTCCACCTAACATAATGGATCAAACTTTGTTCGTAGAAGGTCATTTGGGAATAAGCATAATAATTTCCAACCATCACCTCATCGGAGATAATTGGGTAGTTTGGTAAAGAGCAGATGCGGTTTTCTAATATTGAGGGATAGGTTAGGCGGATAGTGTAGTGGGTATAATTGATTTGTAGAACAAGGTATTTGTGAGATTCCAAATATAAAACGGTCGTATTATCTTGGCACTCGAGTTCATAGTGGAGATGGCCACAGTGTGGTGGGTCGTTTTTCAGTCTGAAAGGGTAGCTAATTTTAGAAATATTGCCGCATGAAGAAGGCGAGCAATTATAAGGATTGGTGTTCTGACCTGTGCAAGTTTGAAGCGTGATTAAGCATGAAAAAATGGTTTTGAGGAGCAAAGGGTATTCGTGTCTGAGCATGGTTTAGGTGGTTTTGCAGGGAAAAACAAGTAATATGAGGGCTAGCTAGCTAGCTAGACAAATGAGTGAAAAGAAAAGGAAGAAATATATATGGATGTGCTTGTATATTAGTGTTATATATTTCGGATTCTCATTTAGGATTGACGTGTAAAATGGGACGAATGGGGAAAAAACAAGACATGAACAAAAAGTTATATAAAACCCCCCTCCTATATTATAATATTTTTTAGTTCTTATTTTATAATGGACCTGATAGATAAATTTTATGGAAATGATAAATAATCTTATTATTTCCAGTTAGTTAGTTCATATTGATAGATAATTTAGTTTTTACTGTAAAGGTAAATATGTATTTATTTATTTATGCAATATGAATGCTAAGTTGATGCTGAAGAGAGGATTAATTTGATTGGTTATATATATAAAAGTCTGCTAATAAATACAACATACCCAAACGTAAAATATATTCAGTGGAGCTTTGTGAATTATGCAAATTGAAGTCAAGTAAACCAAAGACAAAGAGACACCTAGGCATGTCACATCTCTACTTGCATAATTCATCCCAAACGTAAGGAAACGAAACAAAGACTATTGAATCATTAGTCTCCGTCACACTGGACCACACGTACAAGTCCATCCATGGAAATTTTTCGGTTGCTTCTTGCTAATAAATCCAAACTCAGTTTGTGGTAGTGGAAAAATCTCAGTCCAATTTCAGATGTGTAAATGTCACGTTTATGTTACGTTACGTGATATTAACACGTTGGTGTCTGCTAGGTTGACTTGAGTCTGCATGCGTAATTCACGAGCTGGACTGTGCCACTAGTTTTTTGGATATGGCAGCTTAATTATTCGTGGAAATGAGTGTTATATCATTTTTTAAATATACAAGGAACACAAAGCCCTGTATGGCGACCATGTCATTCTTCCTCCTCTTATTTTACTTGTCTTTGTTCAGTGTGCTTGGATTAGAAACTGATGACTGTAAGCCCACCAGATGCAAGAAACACGGGCCTAAGATTCAGTTTCCTTTCAGGATAAAAGAGCGAAGCCCGGAATACTGTGGGTACCGAGGTTTTGAAGTGTTTTGCGACGAGAAACACGAGACTATGCTTCTACTGCCATCCTCTGTACAAGTTGTAGTAAAGGACATCGACTATGTTACTCAACAAATTCATCTTTATGATCCTGAAAATTGCTTCCCCAGAAAGCTACCACAGCTAAACTTATCTTCATCCCCATTCTTCCCAGATTACTACCGCAATTATACCCTGTTTAATTGTTCTGCACCTTTCGAAAGAAATTGTGGTATCCCGATTCCTTGTCTTGATGATTCCAGATATCATATTTTTGTCGTTGATAGTTATGAAATGGGTTATTGTCCATTGGCTTCTTGTACCCAAATACATGAATATTCCCTACCATTATACCCTTTTTCTTATTCGATGAGTGGTGAAAATTCCCTCTATCTGAACTGGTTAGAACCTGCATGTGGTATCTGTGAAGCTCAAGGACAGAGATGCAAATTATCAACTAATTCTACTATCACACATCAAATTCAGTGTGTTGACATTGACAAACCCAAAACGAACAGTAAGCAAGTCATTTTACTGTTTCCATCTTTTTGCCATGCATGTTTTCTTCGCTTGTGCCTTCGTCCATTTCCCTTCTATTCTGGATATAGACTTCAAGGTATATGTTAGAGAAACAAATTTCTACATCCGGAAATGATATTTGGAAAAATCAACCCAAAAAATAACTTCCCCTCTCCAGAAAATTGAACATGAAATGCATCCACAATAGGCAAACTGTTTATCATATCTGNAAAAAAAAAAAAAAAGCTAATATATTTGCTGTTGTCTATTGTTGTTCTCAGGAGCATCAAATGGCCCACTGCTTGGAGGTGAACATTGCTCCCAGCCTGCTTTAACTCTTTCATGTTGTTATGGGATTTATTATTTTTCTCATTTACTTCAAATCCAATTTTATTCATGTAAAGGGAGTTTTATTATGATATAATATAGTATTGATTCAGTTATCCTAGTCCTAGAGCATGCTTTAATTCAGTTAGCCTTTCATATATTTTTGACAAGCCTCTTGCTTGCTGTAGGTGCTTTAGGTACTTGCCTTGTTGTCACAATACTCGCAGCTCTCATCCTTCTTTACATCTCGATTACATCAGACAGAGAGAACCACATCAAGATCGAGAAGTTTCTAGAAGATTACCGAGCCCTCAAGCCCACCAGATTCTCCTACTCCGACATCACAAGAATCACCCGCAAATTCAGCGAGAAACTCGGCGAAGGAGGTTACGGAACGGTTTACAAGGCCAAACTCTCCACCCAAATACACGCGGCCGTCAAACTTCTCCACAACTCAAAGGGCAACGGCGAAGAGTTTGTGAACGAGGTGAGCACCATCGGCAGAATCCACCACGTCAACATCGTCCGTCTAATCGGTTTCTGTGCCGAGGGCTCCAAACGGGCCCTCGTCTACGAATTCCTCCCAAACGACTCCCTCGAGAAGTTCATCTTCCGCTCCTCCTCGTCGAGACCATCCCTCGGCTGGCCTAAGCTCCGAGACATTGCCCTCGGCATAGCCAGGGGCATTGAGTACCTGCATTTTGGCTGCGACCACCAAATCTTACATTTCGACATAAAGCCGCACAACATATTGCTCGACCGGAACTTCGGGCCCAAGATATGCGATTTCGGGCTTGCGAAGCTCTGCTCCAAGGAACAGAGTGGAGTGACGATGACGGCTGCTCGGGGGACTATGGGCTACATTGCTCCCGAGGTGCTGTCGAGGACTTTCGGAAGGGCTTCGTATAAGTCGGACGTGTACAGCTTCGGGATGATGGTGCTGGAGATGGTCGGGGGAAGGAAGAATATGGACCCGAACTTGGACACCAGCCAAGTGTATTTTCCTCAATGGGTTTACAATCGATTGGATTCGGATTTTGGGGAGGATTTCTGGGCTGGGGTGGAGGAAGGGGAGGATGGGAATGTAGCGAGGAGACTGACTATTGTGGGGCTGTGGTGCGTACAGTGGAGTCCGAATGACCGTCCGTCGATGAAAGAGGTTGTTGCGATGTTGGAAGGAAGTGAAGAGAGTCTCGTGATTCCTCCGAACCCGTTTGCTGATAACAATGCTAGAACTTCGGTTGCGCGCGTGATTTCGGGAAGGTGGCAGCAACATCATCGGATAGAGTTGGGTACCGTGCAAGAAACAGAGTATTTCAGTGCCTAAACTGAGAACCGATTTTTTCAGTCCTGGTGCATAATAAGTGTCATCTTCCTTTGTACATTTTTTTTTCTTCTTAAGATTGAACCTGATTGCCTTCACAATTGTTAGCTTCTGTTGACATTGAGCAAATCAAATGATTAGCATATTTAAAAGGCATACTATTTACATCTTATTTAGTACACTCCCCTCTTTTTCTGCACTTGGTAAACCCTCATGTCCTCTTCCCTGCTGCCCCCCTCTTGGGAGCCCATAATGGGACCAAGAAATGCATCCTCGCTAGATCTGTCTAGTGGTTCGAGTTTGACCGCAATTTTTGAGTCTGGGGTTTTGCGAATTCGGTTTGCAACTTTGTTGTGTCTACATGCTGCGGTGTGCGACTCATCTGTCGCTTTGGGTGATCGTGCGGTTTGTCTGCTATAGGGGGAGGGGAGGTCTTATTCCATGTATTCATTAGGTGTGCGTCATTTTTGCTTTTCTTTGTGTTCGTTTCATTAGTCCAGTTGCGTTTGACTTTTAATCTACTAAATGGAGTTTTTTTGTTCTACGGTTGGTTGTGTCTTCTTAGTGGAGTTTGTACTTCTTTGGTCATGTGTGTGTTTTCAAGGGGGGTTCCAGACAGAAAGAAATGGATCATGAAGGGAACAACTGGGGCATGTTGGCAAACCAAAACGAAGAAGTCCCCTATTGTTCCTCACCCTTCCTTATGAAGGAACCGACTATTCAAACTTCCACGAATCGATCGAATGAAATCGCCATAAGCCGCAAGGTCTTGTACCGTATCGATTAAGATATTTAAGTTATTGAGATTTTCGTATTCCAACACGTGTGCTGGGCTTTCCAAATAGGAGTAGTAAACTCGGCTTACAAAGAGGTGCCTTTGGTCTCGACTTGACACTTTATAAGGGGTCTAATAGTCCTTTTGATGGGCTAGCCCACCTCGATTGTAGTATTGGTCCAGACTTTGTTCTAGTTCCATAGACATGAATTTTGCAATTCTATTTGAAATGTTTGTTTTTTCCTCAAAAATATATTGATTTTAAGATTAAGAATTAGTAAGAAAATAATCATTCAATTCTCGAGTCATTTCAATTTCATGTCATTTAGGACAATTTTATATTGTAGCCCTATATAATTAATTATATATAAAACTTAATTATCAAATATAATAAAAAATAATGTTATTTAAGATATATACTTATAACTATTCCCAAGAACTATAATGTTTAAAGAGGCTATCGATTTCATTAAATAAATTCATCTGCGAAAGCTAACACCAAGGGTCCATAGCTCAGTGGTAGAGCAATTGACTGCAGATCAATAGGTCACCGGTTCGAACCCGGTTGGGCCCTTCTTTTTGTAATTTTTGCAGATTGCAGCCACGGTGTGTATAAACGTCACCTATTTTTTGAAAGAATTGTACACAACTTTGGGATGAATGAATTCATATATTTCAGATGACAGTTTGTAAATCTTTATGAGCACAATTATGCATGAATTGTATACAACTTTGGGATGAATGAATTCATATATTTTAGATGAGAGTTTGTAATTCTATCTATCATCTCTACTTTTGTGTACGTTAACCAAAATTGCTAACACAATTCAATCAAGTAACCTTAAAATGTATGTTAATTATAATATACTCTATGTATTTTCATGTGTATATAAAAAAGTTTTGTGTGAAACAATTTAATCAATAGACGAGTCGATCATCAAACTATATGAATAAAATTAGTAAAATATATTTTCAAACTATTAAAGTCATAATTCCGATTATGTGGTCTTTTTCAGGTATATTGTTTTCTAGTTAAAGTATGCATAGTTATAAAAGAAATACATAATAAATCTATACTTATATAAAAAGCCATATACCATTTACTAGAATTAGGGTAGCATTAAATGTCCCTAGAATTATGGGTTTTGTTGAATTCATTTTTGCAAATTTCGACAGATATTGAAGATAATATGAAATTCAAAATCTCTTCTCATTTTATTTTTAATAAAATTTGCATCCAAATTTACGTGTGGTTTTGAAGTGAAAATTTGAAATTCAAAATCTCTTCTCATTTTAATTACAAGGAAATCGGGTTGTATTCAACACTTGGACCAATTTAAAAATTATTCATTAAATGAAGGAATTTATAGATAATTGTTATCTCCACTCAATCACATGATTATTTTCAATATAAAAAGAGACATATTACAAATTAGTGAATCATATATTACCTAATTCAATATCTTAACATTAAGGAATAAATCCATAGTATTATGTAAATTCGTATCTCATATTATTATATCATTAAGAATATATTATAGTTATATTATCAAATCATAAAAATATATTAAATCCATATTGTAAAAAAAAAAATCATATAATTTTATAACAATTTTACCACAGTATTTAACACTATTCTTTTTTATTATGTAATAAAATAATACTTCAATATTATATAGTGAACAACAATAAGTAAAATTGTTACTTTCTCTCATATCAAGGAATAAATTTATATGCTAAAATTAAATTTTTATTAGTATAAATGTTTTAGTGAGATAATATATTAATTATTTTACAAGCTAGCCTTAACATGCTCATATTTAATGTTCTGGCTAAAAAAACACTGGTTAAAAGATGTGGAAAAAAACTTATAATAACCCTATTCTGTTTTAGACTTAACGTTGATTAAAAGAAGTAGAAAATAGATAATAAACCTATTATTTTTTAGACTTAAATGGACAAGTGTGTGGAAATAACTCATTTAATATCTCTGTCTCGTGCGCACGGGCACGGGTGTTGTTATTATTTTATTGAATTGCAAAGCTTGTTCGTTATATAAAATAACAGAAAACATAAAAAACGGATAAATTCTTTATATAGTCAAAACCATCCTAAAATGTCTCTAGTCCCTTGAAAATTTCCTTATGTCCTCTCCAATGCCCTACCAAAACTCAAGGATCCCATTTTTCTTTTCTCCTTTCCCATTCTTCCTTCTGATCCATATTTTGCCTTTGATACAAAATTAATTTGTTTTACAATTTATTTTTTCACATTTTCTGAAGCTTCAAATCTCTAACCAGACAACGAAATGGTATGTATGTCACAATTGCGTTCACATTATGTATTTTTTATTCACAAATTTTATCTTGTCCAAACACGATCAATTAATTTACCTTTGTACAAAACATAAAATTCATGCTATGCACATACTAAAAAAATAAAAATAAAAATAAAAATTGATTAACTGGATTTCAAAATGTAACTAATGAATTCCAACATGTCTGGCTAGTTTATTTTGTAGCTAGTAGAGTCTAAATGTAGCTTGTAATTTTCACTATCTTGCAATTTTATATATGCCATTTTATATCATATTATATTATATATTTTCTATAATAATCAGGCGAATTCGGCATCTGGAATCGCGGTGGACGACGAGTGCAAGCTGAAATTCTTGGAGCTGAAAGCGAAGAGGAACTATCGATACATCGTGTTCAAGATCGACGACAAAGGCAAGCAAGTGATGGTGGAGAAGGCCGGCGGCAGTGGAGAGACCTATCAGGATTTTTCCGACAGCCTTCCAGGAGATGATTGCCGCTATGCGGTGTTCGACTACGATTTCACGACCGAAGAGAATTGCCATAAGAGCAAGATCTATTTCATTGCATGGTAAGGTTAATTAGTACTACACATATATACATGGATGGCTAGGTCATATATAGGGGTGAGCAACAGCGCGATAGAGTGAAAAACTGCACCGAACAAAAAAAAAGTAATAGTAATAATAATCGAACCACACCGTAACTAAAAATAATAAACAAAAAACGAACTAATTTATTTTTACACTAAAATATTTGCACTGAAATGCACGGTTTAACTTGATTTTTGACTTTATTATTTTGATTATTTTATACAATTTATTCAATTTGGTGTGGTTCAGCGCAAAACTACAGCGAACAAAAAAAAAATATCGAAAATTGAACTTATGAAAAACTACAACTGCACTGCACCGCAAAAAAAATCGAACCAAAGCTGAACCGAAACTTTTTTACATAAAAAACCTGAACTGAAACAGCACCGAATTGCACGGTTTTGGCTCGGTTTTCGATTTCGGCTAGGTTTTGCTCACCCCTAGTCACACACTTCATGTTTATTTTTACATAGAAATTTCATCTTTTGGTTGTTTTGTTTAGTGAAATTTTTGGATATGATGATCAAATTGTATGACTTGAAACTAGGGTGTGTGATTTGAGTCGAGCCGAATAGGATGTGTTCGAAAACGTGCTCGCTTAACCAGCCCAACTCTGCTCGGTTCCTTTAATAAATCTTATGCTTTAAACCAGCTATTTACGAACATGAAATATTGCGTGAACAAATTTAGCTCGGTAGATTTCATTTAGAACTTTTAGTAAAGTAAAAAAAAAAATGAGTTGTTCGTGAACAAGCTCGAATTGATTAATAAGCGAGCTTGATTATTTGTTACGAGCTCCGTGAAAGCTCAACGAGCCAAAGCAAGTTTTGTTCCTGAACTTGGAATAAAACTCTAACTTCAACTATTGATTAAATTGTGATTTAAGACTAGTCATTTAACTCTTGGAATGTGCACTTTGATCCTTTAAAATGTCTCTGGATTTTATTTTTTCAAAAGAAGCTACACACATGACTTTCATGGTGTTTCTTTTCATAGTGTTTCATATTATAATTAAGAAGCAACTTTAGGGGCCAAAAGACATTTGANTTTTTTTTTTTTTTTTTTTTTTTTTTTTGTTCTAAAAAAGTACAATTATGGGATTATTTATAATACAGGTCACCAGAAATTGCTAGGGTGAGAACCAAGATGCTGTATGCAAGTTCAAAAGACAGATTCAAAAGGGAATTAGATGGGATTCAGGTGGAGTTACAAGCCACTGATCCTAGTGAGATGAGCTTGGACATCATCAAGGAAAGAGCTTATTAATATTTTCTTAATTACCTATATAGATCAAATTAAACCCTTCTTCTTTTTTTTCCCCTTTTTCTTCTATTTTCTCTAATATATTTTTATGTGTGTTTTTATTCAAATTTGATTCACATGGATTAATTTTCTTTTTAGCTTTGGCTAGTTTTTTGGCTTCAGCTGATTGTTTGGAATTCATGTATTAAATGCATATTTTATTTTTTTGTACCTTTGTTTTATCAAGTAAAATACTTCCAAATAGGAGGAATATTTATTTTACCGATACAAGTTTTTTTATTTGGTTTTTTTTTTTCACAAATGATGATCAAATCCTAATAGTATATATATATGTGAGAAAATTGCAATTTTTGTTATGACTTCCAGCGTTTTTCATAAGTCCTTTATGTATGACCGATTGGATTTCGTCCTAAACGCATATATCAGAACACAGTTATTTCTTTTTGCATCTTAAATTAACATTCACATTCACACATTGAAACCAACTTGTACTGTTGTGCATAATTCACCTTAATTAACTATACTTTTTCAACGAATATGCATATTTTCAAAGTGAAATGTCGTACTTTAAAAAACAACATAACCAAAATTAAGTATTACATTTCATATCATACGTTTCTTATTTTTGTTAAAAAAATATGACGAATCAGCCCGTTCAACGATTAAACTGTCTCATACAAGAATTTGTACATTTTTCATCCCGATGACCTACAATATCAAAAATTATCTTTGATTTGAAATAATGTTTCCAAATTATCTTTTGGATTTGAAATAAAACCCTTTAAAATATGCCATTTTAATCAAGTACCATTTAATAGTGTTAACTATCCTGTAGTCTGATAAATACTAGCCCATTTTTTTTTAAAAAAATTGAATTTGAATCAAATAAAACCAGAGAATCACAGTCCAGGATCAGAATGATCAAATGATAATTGACTAATTGTTGTGTGAACTGTTGAAATTTCCAAACAACTAATGAAAATGTAATGGAACTATAGCATTCAGTAGTCAGTGTAATGGAACCTAAAAGAAAAAAAATAGAGAAGAAAAGAGTGCACCAAATACTTCAAAACAGAGATTATAACAATCTCCAGCATTACTCAGAAAGTTGAACAACAATCTCAATTAAGCCAGAGAATCACAGGCCAGGATCAGGTTCTTGATTGAATAATTCAAAATTGTTTAAGTATACTGTTTAAAATTTTTAGATAAAATAATGAAAAATGTAATGGAACAACTATTAGTATTCAGTAGTCAGTGTAATAGAATAAAATACANAAAAAAAATAGAGAAGAAAAGAGTGCACCAAATACTTCAAAACAGAGCTTATAACAAGCTCCAGCATTACTCAGAAAGTTGAACAACAATCTCAATTAGTCATCACCCACCTCACCTGCCAATGCCAATACAAACTGTTACTCATTTTTCCTCAAGTCAGGGAAAAGAAATCACCTCAACCAACAATAAGAAACCTGCCTATTTACTTGCACAAAACCCACAACAAAAACACACTGTTAAAACACATCAAATCACATTCAACTAAAAAGCCAAACCTCCTTCAACAAAAACCAGACCCATAATAATAACCACCATAATCATCAGGCTCCCCCAAGAAGCTCATCATATCATTTTCGACCGGAAAATCCAAAAACAGCTCGTGCAGCTCGGATTCCGACGTGTCCTCTGCCTCGGGCCTCGGGCTCGCGGGCCCCACGAACGAGGCCACGGTGCTCGGTGGCGACCCGTAGCCCGTCTTTCTCAGGTCCCGGAAAGTCTCGCCGACCTCCGAATTCCATAGCCGGAGGAAAAAGTCGCCGGTGGGCTCCGGCCTGGAGAGTCGGGCCTCGGCTTCGAGACGGGCGCTCTCCCATTGGGCCATGTGGCGGGCCGCAGAGAGGGGCTTTGGCCCGTCGGGCTTGGGAGGGGGCTCGTGGGCCTGAGGGTCGAGGCCCAATTTGGGGAGCTGCTTCTTGAGGTGGGTGTTCCAGAGGTTCTTGATCTCATTGTCTGTTCTTCCGGGGAGTTGAGAGGCTATTGCAGCCCATCTGAATGAGAAAAATAATTGGGAAAAAATATGGGAAAAAAAAAATTGATAATTTATAATGAAAATGAGGATATGTTTGGTTATAGGAAAAAGATCAAAACTTTTTTTGTTTTTGGAATGCAAATGCTCCATCAAGAAACACACACCTGAGGTGAATTTGAGTAGATTTTGCTAATTAACCATCAATTTTTGTGAGATTTTTAAGGTATGAAGTGAACCCTTCACATGCTATTTTGGTTCAAGTTTGAGGCTTTAGAAAATCACACAAAAAACACAAACAAAAAAAATCCAAACAAACAAATAAAACAAACCTGTTGCCAAGAATGGCATGCAACTGAATGACAAGCTTCTCTTCATGAGGGCTAAAAGGGCCTCTTTTAATGTCTGGCCTTAGATAATTTGTCCAACGCAGCCTGCAGCTTTTCCCACAACGAAGGAGCCCTGTAAAATGAAAAGGCACTTTGTATAATGCACTTTCAAAATTCTATGAGATTTATAAGTGATTTACATTTTTTTTTTTCTTTTCTCTCCTAGAAGCACTTAATTATATGTTGACTTAGCCTAAAGTGAATTCAGGATCATTGAGCTCATTTACAGATTGAAGTTCTTGAGCCCGCAAGATTATACATCATTTATTGGCTCATAAAGATAGGATCTTTTTTTCTTGAAACATTATCAAGAACTAAAAATATAAATTTAAGATAAATAAATTGTCTCATAAAGAGAGGATCTTTTATTCTTGATTAAAAAACAAATTGACTCATAAAGGTAGGATCTTTTTTTCTTGAAACAAAATCAAGAACTAAAAACAAAATTTCACAAAAATAAATCAATAAATAACCTGCAAGCTTAGGAAGAGAACGCCAGCTGCCATGGCCATTTTTGTTGATAAAGCTCACCAATTTCTCATCTTCCTCAGGGGTCCAAGGCCCCCTTTTCAACCCCTTCTTATCACAACATGGTGCCCTGCCCATCAAAACACACACACAAACACAAAAGAAAAAAAAAAAAACAAACAAACAAAAGATTATTTTTTTTTCCTAGATTCTTCTTGTTTTCTTCATTTGATTCACACAAACACTGGAAGCAAACACAGCCCACAAAGAAATTTTTCTCTTTTTTCTTTTGAAGAATTGTGCACCAAGGAAATGAAGAAAATTATGGTAAGAAAAAGGTGCAGAGGTTTTTTGAATGTGCAAACATAAATGTGAAAAGACAATTCAGAGCACTTTAGCTAGTCCTCAGCTGGCTATTGTGTGTGCATTCAATGCCTCCTTAGTCTGATATATAGAATGAGTTTTTGGATGCTAGATAATAATAATAATATTCTGGTTAGCATAGTTTGTTTTATTTATTGCTATTTATCTAAATGTAGTGCAATTATTTCCATAAATTTGGACTAGGATATTGAATGATTGATTCCATGGGACAAAGAAATTCTCATATTTAATGATATGTTATTTATTGCTCCATTAGTTGTTCTATTCCTCCCCTTTAGTTGTCCACCAATTTACTGTTGCCACATACACTCCCTCTCCTAATACATGTGTGTGAAAATATACATTCACATTTTTTAAAGCCAAAAATGAAAAAAATGTTGCAAAAATACAAAATAGTGTTGCTATGTGCACACAATAGTAACACTGAATGTGCACAATAATATTGTTGTCAACATGTGCAATAGTATAGTTAACATGCACATAAGATAACCATGTGTTTGTGTTTTAAGGTTTCATTCCATTCTTTTTAGATGTAAGGAGATGACAATAATTGTCGACTAGGCGAACTGATATTCGGAAAATTCCACTCTTCGAGCAATCATGCATGTTATGAAAACTGCGAATTTCTTAAAATCAAGAATCATATTTAGATTGTTATATATCATCTCATCGACCAATCTTCCATAGATGAAACATGAAATCATGACATTTCAATACTATTTCATTTTAAGTTGCATCATTATTAAGATGGAAATATCGTGACATTCGTATTTGATACGACACGTTGACCATCCTGACGGGAAAAAAACACCATCCTCTAATAAATGAATATTGACCTGATTTTTTTATTTTTTTACCAATTTCAATTCCAACAAAAATTTAATACAATTGAAAAAGTAAGAGCAATAATGCATCAAGACTTTGAACATATGAAAGTCAAGCTGAGAAAGAGAGCCAAACATAAAGATCTGTGCCCAAAACATACATAGTGTACTCTCTAGTCTACCCTTTGGCTCTGTGTATAAGAGTAAATGCAAGAGATTGTGTTACAAAAATAGGGTAAAATGGGGTGAGAGAGGGAAAGAAGAGAGATAAAGGGGGAGAGAGACACTTACCACACACAACAAGATGAGGTGCAGAGAAAATGAAAAGCATTAAATGGGCTCCTTTTATTAAATGCTGGGCATTTATTGGCACTGCCCTCTGTTTTTCCAAACCTATACACGCACATGCATAATTGCATATATACATAATACACATATATATATATATATATAGATGTATGTAGAGATGAAGAGACTGAGAAGAGAGAAGCATGCATTAATAATGGAGGGGACAGAGAGAGATTCATGCAGAGAGAGAGAGAGAGAGAGAGAGAGAGAGTACGGTTTTTGTGCTGAAAATTTAAATAGAGGAACATATATACTTAATACTTCTTCATTGCTTTCTTGTGGTTTGTCTTAAATTGAAAACGCTTTATTAAATGTGATCCCTCACCCAACTTTGAAGTTAGAAAAGTGGGTTCATTGTCGATGCTTATGCCGGTTTGCTTGCCCGGATTTTGAGTTTTGGACACAAAACTCACCAGTTCATAATAGAGTCGAACGTAAGAAAAACTCGCATCTTTAACATAATACACGACATAACATAGCTTAATGTTCTTATTTTGTAGTATTTGTGCATTGTAGATTTGGGTCGATTGTTCGTAACTATTCACAAAAAAAAGTGAATAATAGAGTCCATCAATAAGGAAACCGCGTGGTTTTAATACACAACACAACGTAGTTAGGATTCTTATTGTGAAGTATCCGTAGTTTGGACCAGTCACTCTTAACTACTACCACTCATGAAATAAGGTAAATAATAGTAAAACATAAGAAAATCATTTGTTTTTAACTAGGTTTGGGCCAGTTGTTCGTAACTATTCACAAATAAACAGGTTCACTGGATTATTTCAAATATTTTAGAATCCTACCACTATTAGCTTGATGCATTGCAAGAAATAATAAGGATATGACCCTTTGGATCTTGAAGGAGTAGGCTTAGGTTATAACTTTATGAGGTAATAGTTTTGCTACAGCCTTCTCGTACGTACCCATTGTAGCTTTTAGCATGAATTTTTTTTTTTTTTTTTTTTTTTTNGGTAAATGTAAATACAGTTTTGCAAACATAGATCCAACATTTTGCTAAAAAATTCAATTTTGCTCGAAATTGTTCTTAAAAAATTGAATGTTCTTACTTGGGAGGCATATTAAGCCCTCTAACAATGTTAATTTATTTTAACCAGACCATTATTCCTATGCAAGGGTGCAGATAAACCGAACGGAACTCAAGCTAAAGCCTTTAATGAGCTTAGCTCAACTCTGCTAGTGAACTTAGAGAGTCAATAATAAAACTCCGAGTTCGAATTTTAACTCCAAGCTCGAGCCTTAATTAGCAGAGTTATAAACATTTATTAAAAGTTCCTCCTTTCAAACCTTAACAATCCAAACCGAGCCCGACTTGTTATTGAATCAAGCTTTAAACGAGTTCATGCTTTGCTCATCTGTGAACGAACTGAGCCCAGCTCTCGAACGGTTTGGTTGAACAACTATATTCATATTACAACTTTTAGGTTAGGGAATGGATGATTAAAATTTCATCAATTCAAACAAATTAACCTTAACTCGCTCGCTTTCTTTAACCAAAAAGGAAAAAAAAAATAATAATGAAAAATAAAAAGGTCCCAACCCCAACCACCATTTATCCAAAAACGGCCATTCCTCTATCAGGATCAACACGCCCATATGCCACCACACGTCAAGTTCCTATCACCTCAATTATAGCTCAAGAAAAAAAAAAAAAATCCTACTTTTACCAAGAAAAACTGAGTTACAAACATATATATTTTACTTTGATTTCAAGAAATTTGAGCATAGATAGTTTTTAACGGAATAAAGAATTGTACAGCAACAACTGCGCCATCTACAGAAAGAAGATTCCTTTTCACAATTTCTCCTTGCTAAAATAATGGCTGAATTTGCAAAATAGCATTGAAACATGTGATATTTGAGCAAATTGCAGTGAGTCCTAATTGTCAGGTTAAAGTAATGATCAATTAGTCGATCGTGAAAATGTTCATACCTTTCGACCAAACTAAGTAGAATAGCCCACATTGATACTCAGCTATAGAAAGTAGCAAAGGAACCATACATGTTCTTTGCAAATAACAACATACAGAAAGGCAAAGGCAGACAGATTAGCTTGGCTTAACCCTAACAGAAAATATGGAAAAGCCATTACCTAAAAGCAACAGAATACAAAATCCCAAAGGCGATTCTATATCTTTCTGAGTCCAATAGCAATGAATGCCAATATCTTGAGAATTTTGGCATCAAAAGACTCATCATCTCAACTATAATGCCTTTTCACAATCAAAACCATGATTTCATAAAAATCCTCACGTTCAATCCTCGAATGTCTTCCACAGGCGTCAATGTTTCTTTAATAAGAAATGCGATGTTGATCACTAAAAAAAGAAACGCGCAATTACTATAATTGTACCTTAATTGTGTCAACTGTGTTCTGAATAAAACATCATATTCACACATTTTTTCTAAGCCTCCACATGTTTGCCACATCTAAAATGGTTTAATACACTGCACTCATCTGGTTGAACTGGCAAATCATCTAAACTTTTTGGCATTTGCTTCATGAAAGAAACAAAAAAATAAAGGACTTCATAAGAGGAGACATGCCTAAAATGGAATGCTCTACCAAGGTAGCTTTGCTTTACGATCCCAGCAAATGATTTCATACATATTTCAGTTACTCGTTTGCATATCTTTCTTGCTGACAATTGACACAAACTTTGTAATGGCTTTATAAGGACGCCTTCGGTTGATATTTCAGTTTAACTGATCACGAATGCCATGGATTTGTTAAGGAAAATTAGATTTCTAGTGACAAGTCACATAACTATAATTGTCAATACATAACTAATGTATCTGGAACCATTTTACTCACCAGTGTTACGAGTCCATAGACAAAGTATTTTGCAGTCATTACAGATCAATGGCAGTAAATTGCTTGATCTATATGCGGAGGAATCTGCTTGATCTCTGTTCCTAGTTCTTGTTCGATCCTATACCTGAAAAAGAGATAAAATGTGAATATGAAGAATAACATATAACACACTGACTCACTAAAAAAATATTCCTTCCTATAGAATAACTACAGACAACATGCGTACAGGTTGAAACGATCCTCATAGGTGATCAGATTCACAGCTAAACCAAGGTGTCCGAACCTTCCGGATCTACCAACCTGTACATAGCATGAATAAAGAATAATTATGAGCAAAATAGAGAAAATATGAGAAACATGAAATTCACTTGAAATCTCAGCACTAAACACCATACCCTGTGTAAGTAAGTTTCTGAATTCTTGGGAAAATCAAAATTGATAACAACGTTAACTGCCTGAATATCGATCCCTCTTGTGAACAAGTCTGCAATATGAAAGTAAGAGAAAAGGGAAGAAGAATAAATGCAATAGGACAAAAAACAGATTGGCAGTGTTTCTAAAATTTGTACAACTAGACCTATTACATTTTCTAGAATCTCCATTCAAGCTCAGAGTTGTAATACCAAAAGTCTGAATATGGATAACTTTGTTTTACAAATAGCCTCAGAAGGTACTAGACTAAAGAAACTATGTACATAAAGTATGGTATTTTGCATGTCATGATATTATTAGTTTATCTTAAGTAAAAGCCAAAAAGCTGGAACTGTTGCCATATAAAAGAATGTTATCTACTTATATGGAGGAAAATATGGAAAGAAACAATGAAAAAGTCAATCTTCAAAGTATTACTAGAATAACCATGTCAACAAAACTACACACACACGGACATATTGAAAATGTTAGTTCTCAAAATCTCAGAAACGGCAAGGGCAGTTCACCAAGCATGAAAACCAAACTAATTAACTTCAGGAGGATTCTCATTCATTGCTTCTATAATCTATACAACCATTAATGAAGAATCATCACTAGAATAAATAGATAGAAAAATTATGTTTCAACCTAATATTACCACTAACATGATAAAAGTGTCAAACATCATTATAGCAATCAACCCTACGAATATACCAGTGCAGACAAGATTCCTGCAGGCACCGTTACGGAAGTCGTGAAATACTCTGTTGCGATGATCTTGAAGCATCTTAGCATGAATATAGAAGCAAGAATAGCCAATTTCCGTGATTTTCTTGGCAAGAAGTTCAACTCGATTCACAGAATTGCAGAAAATAATAGATTGGTTTATTTGAAGCTGAGAACAAAGAGAATAGATACATCAAATTCATAAAAGAAACCATAAAATGAAGATGAGCATTCACTTAAGTTACAGAGAATGGTCATATATCTACTGTGCCTGACCTTTGAAAATAGAGTGTTGAGGCAGTGAACTTTCTGTCTTTCTTCAACAAACGCATAAAACTGGGTTATACCCTTCAGGGTAAGCTCATCCATAAGGTTTATGATATAGGGTTTTTGCAGGTATCGATCTTTAAAATCTTTCACCGTAACAGGAAATGTAGCTGAAAACATAAGGATCTGACGGTTTGCAGGTAAAAATCGAATTAACTGCTCTATAGAAGGTTGGAACTCTGGCGACAAAAGCTTATCAGCCTGAAAACATTAATAAGAAAGGGTTGGTATCATAATCCATCTTTGTAACATGTTTGTCACAATTCAAATCAAAATGTTCCCAAAGAAGATATACGGCGCAGACAAAAAGGAAAAAATGACCCATTCATAGGACAAATGAGATGTCAAGATAATCTAGAAACCCAACATCAGAAAGCAAATATCAGAAAAAGTGCGACCACCATAAAATCGACAGTTCAGATAAATGATAGCATGATAGGAAATGAGTGGCAATGAGATCAGAAACCTGAACACCACATCCAGAAACATGGTCTAATAATGCATAACATCTTCATACCTCGTCCATTACAAGTATAGAACATTCGTTCAAAATGCAAATGCCCTTCCTCGCAAGATCAAGAATTCTTCCAGGTGTCCCAACAAGTAAATGAACTGGTTGATAAAGGCGCATTATATCATCTTTCAGGCTAGTTCCTCCAGTAGTAGCCATAACTTGAATTTTTAAGTGTTTCCCAAGTTCTTTACAAACTTGTGATGTTTGAAGTGCTAATTCTCTGGTTGGGACAAGAATAACAACTGCAAAGATGAAAGCGTACGGAACCAAAATTAGAAACAAATGATACAACTAAACATAAGTACAGCCACGAACAGATCAACCATGTAAGTTCAAGAATACGTAGGCACTGACAATATTAAAGCAAGATAAGGATCTTAGACAGCACTTAACAGACGATTTTGCATATTAAACAGTACTATTTCGCAAGTTTAAGAAGCTTCCAATAAATACTACAAACCTTGAATAGAATTTTTATCTTGATCAATTTTCTCCAATGCTGGAATGCAAAATGCAGCAGTTTTTCCCGTTCCATTCTTAGCCCGAGCCAAAATATCACTTCCAGTTAGAGCAATAGGGATACTCTCCTCCTGGATGGGAGACGGACTCTCAAAACCCTTCTCATAAATTCCCATAAGCAACTCACGCTTCAGAAAGTAGTCTTCAAATTCATTTCCTTTGGTAGCTGTAACATCCTAAAAGACAAATAAATTGAAAGACAAATAAAGCCTAGCAGGAGAAAAATGTCAGTAAGAATGTCAAACATTTAAATGAAAAAAGAGAAAGACAATCACAATCCACCCAGATCTCAAATTAATAAACAAACCGAACAAATCAACAAATCTTTAAGTACCTAAAAGTCATACCTCAGTTCTGTAACGGGTGTCCTGGGGTGGTAACTTCAAGCGTGTCTTCCAATCTTGCGAACTTTTCAAGACAACAATAAGAACGATACATACGCAGCGTCAGTTGTGCATGGTTTAGGTAGTGAGAGATGGAGAAAGAAGTTCATCAATATTCAACAATCAAAGAGGCAATGGTAGGCAAAAGTGAGGGAGTAAGCAGAAACTGCTTCCAACAAAGCCAGTGAAAAGCGAGAACAAAATTCCCCAGACACAACATATGAATCCGATTTCAAAGATTACAATTCCACAACTTTGTTTAGTCCGTTCTTCAATTGTATGAGGGGAAGTTCTGGTAATTCATTTGGTTCCACCAGACTATGCATCTAAAGTATGTCATTTATTTGAAACAAATATCCTGATCTTCAAGTTTCATTGGCAAAACAATCAACCAGAGAGGTTGAAACCCTTGGCATCAGAGAGAAGGCAGCATGTGAACATATCAAGCAAATATATTTGCTTTTGAAAGACTATATACAAAACAAAAGAAAAATAATGAAACTCGCTAAGAAACATGAAAGGTCCTCATAATACTGATGTCAACAAGGGGAACAACCAAGCATTACTACAGCCAGCTACATAATTCATGCTGACTGTTGCCAAAAATGTAAGAGAAGGTCCACAAATATGTATTGCCAAACGTCACAAGCCAGTCTTCCATCCATATGTAAAAGCGGCTTCCATATTATTGCAATTCTCTGACCAAACCTCTCGAGCTAGACTTTCAAACTTCAAGTTGCGCCCCCTTAAGGTCCCCACACCCCGTTCCACTCAACACCAACAATTAATTTCCTAGGATTCTAGTTCCAAATATCAAGTGCTTAATATCCAGCTTACCAAAGAGGCATCAATACTTTAAAAATACCATAACTAAAGTCCCACAAATAATAGACAGGATTAATATTAAACACAACTTCTAATTCTATAGCCTTATTCCCTGGTAACATAGTAGAAGTGACGAAAGAGCACACGCAAATATAATTTCACTCGAATCACCAGAAAAAGAACCAAATAAAGCACTAATCCCCAATATACACAGAAAACAACACGAATAAAATAAAATCTAACCTGGAATCAGTGGCTTCTGATTGAACAGACTTTTCCACCTCGTCCGAGCCAGCGGACGCCAACTGAGCTCTTCTCGGCCATTGTTGCGGCTGGGGATTCTGATACAACTGGTGATTCTGATTACTCGCCGGCGGACCCCTTTGCACATACTGCTGCGTAGGGTTTCTCGGTTGAAAATTAGGGTTTGGGCCCACATTCGGGTTTACTCCGCCTCTCCCGCCGCCCATTCCTGGCGGCGGATACCTCGCTCTATAGCTCATCGAGAAATCTCAGTTACCAAAACTCCGGTCAAAAGAATTGTACCACTTGGCAAAGAATGCACAAATTCCGTACGTATACTTCCTGTACCTAGTGATGAAATTGCTGTAAATCCTAGTTGATTGCTTACGAAAGCTAAATCTTCGAACAGAAATTTGGGGGCACGCAGAGGAGATTGAGTAATTTGAAGAATCTTGTTTTTGAGAGGAAATTGCAAAATTGGTATTGGTACCATTGCAAATTTAGTCCACTTGCAATTTTAATCATTTTTTATTTTTATTTATTTATTTATTTATTTATTGTTGGAGATGGTCCAAGAGATTGATTATTCTACAATGCATCGGGTCTAATTTTATCTATGTGTCATGTAAATAAACTCAAGTTTTAGATGACATAGATAAAACTATATAAAATTAACAAAATTCACTTCAATGCAAAGAGACTAGATCTCAACTTGGGTCTAAAATAGACTTAAGAGTAAACTGAGTCTTTTTTGTTGTTGTCACATTATCATGACCCAGTCTACTTATACTTGCATTGGAAAATATACTTTTTGAGATTGAGCCTAATTCTTAAGTGACATATAAATTTTTTTTATCGAACCCAAAACATTATGGATGTTCTTAGTCAACCTTTGCATCTAGAAATTGAAGGAGAATTACCTTGCTGCTTCTCCAAAATGGCGGAAAATAATGAACACAACCATAACGTTATACGATATCTAACAAATTAATATTATGATCGCAAATTTTTCATATCAGCAACCATATTCCAAAAAAAAATAAGTTCTTCAAGTTCATCAAGAAGATAAGCCAGCGTATTTTGATTTTGCAGTACAGTTGCTCGAATGAGAACATGTACGCCAACCAATCCGAGAAGGAAGTACTTGGAGTGCGAGCAAAATGCTTGTAATTTTTTGAAGTGGTTTGACCCTCCAATATGTGCAAGATCAAATGAAATAATACATGGTTTGTTGCGTAAAATATATCGCTTCGAAGATGAAACCAACCGGCTACATTGTGAAAGTGAAACTACTCTTCATAGTTCATGTGAGTGAGAAAAAAATGAAAAAGGGTGAAGAAACTGACAATGACCAACTCAAGAAGAAGAATGACATTTTAGTATTACTACTTGTAATCTTATTGGGTGATGTTTGTTTGTCCTATTTTGTTGCTATTTTTGTTAGAGGATGATTGGATATAAAAAATTTTGGTTTTGTTTGGATTTTTTTGTTTGGTTTGGTTAATTTTGAAAAAGTTTGGTATGGTTAGTTGTTAGTGGGTATATTAAATAATATTTAAAATAAAATGATTAAAGTTGATTTGATGTAAAGTAGGTGAGAGAAAATTTGAAGTGATGGTTAGTTAAAATTATGTGAGTGGATGAATAGTGAATTAAGGTAAGGTGGTGTGTAAGAATGATTGATTGATATTATTTAATTATATTGATAATATTGATGATAGTGGAGTTGAGTTAAAGTTGAGTTAAAAAAAGTGGTTGAGTTAAAAATATTTGAATTTTTTTGAAAAATTTTGTATCCAAACATGCTTTTAGTGTTTTGTTTTTCTTTTTCACCATTTTAGATAGACTTGTCAAATCGGGCCGCGGCCCGCCCCGCCCCATCAAATAGGTGGGCTGGGTTGGGATATTACAAGCACGTAGGGTTGGGATATTACAAGCACGCTAAAGAGCGGGCCTACACGGGCTAGCCCGCGCGGGCCGCAGGCTTTGGCGGGGCTGGCCCGCCTTTTAATAAAATAAAAAAAATGTTTTGATTCTGTAAATCGGAACAATAAAAAATGGGACTTTTCAATTGCTAATCCCAGTTCATTCATACATAAAACTTGCAAGTCTTCATACTGTAACAAAAATTGCACTTCCTCATACCAAAATCAGAAATGTTAATCAAAATTCTTCTGTGTACTTATCATTTCCCAAGACCGAGACCCTAACGACTAAGATTGTAGGCTCTGATACCTAATCTCCAACCCAACTGTCGAGCCCGACCGTCGACGGCGACAAGGAGCTATTTCAGCTTCCAGCTTCCTTCGGGCAGTACGAGAAACTGAGAGGAGAGAGACCCGCGAGGCGGCGACCGAAAGAGAGACCCATTGGCGGCGAGGCGGCGACAGAGAGATAGATCCGGCGATGAGGTGGCGTCGGTCAGTCAATAGCACCCGACGCAGGGGAGAGACGACATAGACTATTGACAAACACGCGTACACACATACTTAAGAAATATAGTTGCTTGAATTTGACATATTTTTTTGGGCGATTTTCACTCACAGATCTGGAGAGTTTGAAGTCTAATTGGTTTGATTTTGGTGTTGTGTGTTTATGTGTGTATCGTGATGTGTGCAGAAGAAATTAAAAAGAGCAAACAGAAGAGTGAAATTAATTAATTACTTCAATTTGTTTACAAATTTTTTTTAACTATTTTGGGCGGGCCAGTCCGCCCAGCCCGCGGCCCATGGCGGGGTAGGCCGGGTTGGCCATTTAGAGTCCCGTCAGATGGCGGGCTGGCCCGCCCCACCCCGTCAAATGACGGGTTTTCGCGGGCTGCGGGCTGGCCCGCCCCGTCGGTCCGTTTTGACATGTCTAATTTTAGGTCGTTTTTTAAGTTTTTCCAGTCCTCCTAGTCGTTTTTCGTGTTTTTATTGTTATTTTGTTGTGTTTGGTATTTTGTTGTTCTTATTCCTATTTTCTCTTATTTTCGTGTTTTTCCTGTTGTGGTGGTTTCAGGTGTTAGGTTTGTCCGGTTGTTGAGCACACACGAGAGAAACAATTTTTCTGTTTCGGTTCTTCGGAGTTCCATGCCAGTTCGTGCAACCCAAACACGCAGGAACTAAGTTCCCAGCTCGAACAGAACCCTAGAGATGTTAGCCGAGAGCACGCGAGCCTGGAACATCAAAATAATAAACCTGCCCAGACCCTAGCGCCGCTACTATGAGGACAGCTAGCGCCGCTAGGAGGGCTAGCGGGCAACAGATAGTCGACCTTGGCAGACCCTAGCGCCGCTAGCTTTTGATTTGTAACTATTGCGATTTTGACGGATTTTTGAATTGGAGACGAAAAAGATCGAGCCTAGGGCATTATTCCTCATTCCTAGACTTTGTATTTTCGATTTTTCTCAATCACAAACAAATTTTTCTCTTTAGTTTCACTTGGATTCGATATTGGAGAGTAAGAACTTCAAGATTCATCCTTTGAGAGTTGGATTGCACTTATTTTCGACATTGGATAGGGGATGATTGTTTCGGTTCAATTTCGATTACGTGCTATAATAATAATACAATATTGTTTTATCAAATTAATTGGTCATAGTTAGTCAAGATGAAAAATACTACATTATTTAAATTAATATATAAATTAAACAATTTATATTTATATCGTTCATTCTTAATATTCTTAATATTATCTAAGTTATGATTTTGAATATTAAATATACACCTATATATAACATGTAAGATTATAGTTATATATATATACATGCTGACATGCATATGTAAATACAATTGTTTGTTTAGAGTGGCCTTAATAATAATCTATATGTATATAATTACTAGTTATCCATTAAATAAAATTTCATAAATTTTATCTCATAAATTATACCTACGTGGCACCTAACTTTCCAAAAACTGATTTTGTTAATTAAGACAAAAATTCTTACATTTATATTAATTATATAATAGTTACATTTTGTTATTGTATCATATTATCATATAATAATAAAACCCTTTGAAATCAAACCCTTTGAAATTATTAGAATTAATAATTATATTTTACACATAATTATAGTTTACACTAAATGATATATAAAAGTTAAATAAGCATAATAAATTATTGTAAAACTTTTAGTTCAAGTTATTTATTCTAAAATTAATATTATATTTATTTATCTAATTAAGTAATTGTTTTTTAAATAAATTAATTTGTTTTAATGTCACTATAAAATCACTTAAAATCGCATAAGAAATTGTTATACTAAATCTAATATTTTTCAGCAAATTAATTGATCGTGATCCCTCAAATTACAAATATTACATTATTCATTATATTTTAGGCAATCAATATAGTGATTCATATATATGCAATCAAATAGTTAAGTACTATTTATTTAATCAATGACAAAATTTTAAAACATAGTACCATTATATAACTTATAATTTTAATATTATATGCATAAATATAATTTATAATACTCTATGTTTAAAAATTTAATATTATTATCTAACTTATAGTTTTAATGCTATATATAAATAACTCATAATACTTTATTTATATTTGTGCAAACGTACAATGTTATATACTAGTAATAATCTATAGTAATATAAAGAGGTTGTTGGAAAAATACTTTTATAGTAAGTTTGATTAAAATAAATAAATAGTTTAACTTACTATTAATGAAAATTTCGAAAAAAACACATGTACCCAAAAAATTTGAGATTTTTATGGTAACAAATTTGGAGATTTTAATGGTAACAAATTTAATTGAGTATCCCAAAAAAATTAGAGATTTTTATGATAACAAATTTGGAGATTCTTATACCAAAATTTAATTCATTTTAAATATTAATTCATAGGAATCTACTTTTATTGGTAACAAATTTAAATATTGTTATGCCAAAAAATTAAGATTTTGAATTGAGATATTCCAACAATTACTGATTTTTTTCCTATTCAAATTAATGTTGTAAATAAAAAAAAAAATTATTTCAAAAATAATGGATGTTATACCAACTATTGATAAACTCCAATCTCATAGGAGATTTCTATGGGATTCTTATGGTAACAAATTGAGATTCTTATGCCAAAAAATTGAGATTTTGAATTGAGATATCCTAACAATTTCGGATTTTTTCCCCTTCAAATTCATGATGTAAATCAAACAAAAAATTATTTCGAGAATAATTGATGTTATACTAAATATTGATAAATTCCAATCCATAGGAGATTTTTATGGGTTTCTTATGGTAACAAATTGAAGATTCTTATGGTAACAAATTTGGAGATTCTTATACCAAAATTTAATATATTTTAAATATTAATCCCATAGGAATCTATTTTTATTGGTAACAAATTTGAAAATTCTTATGCCAAAAAATTGAGATTTTGCATTGAGATATCTCAACAATTAAGGATTTTTTTTCCATTCAAATTAATGTTGTAAATCAAACAAATAATTATTCTAAGATAATGGATGCTACACTAAATTAATATCACTGGGCCCACACGTTAATATGATATTAATTAGATAGATAAATTACGTAAATCTTTCTTAACAAAATGCGTTCCAATATTGTTAACCAATTTAATGGATTTTCTTAACTAATTTGATAGGATTTTGGTAACCACGGGATTTTGTTAGTTTTTCGTAGAAACACGAATCTTCATTATTGATAAGGTTTGATAAGATTTTGTTTCCAATTTTTTTTTTTTTGTTTTTTTTTTCCTCTCTCAAAAATTTGATAAGGTTTGATAAGATTTTGTTTCCTTTTTTTTCTCTCTCTCGAAAATTTGAGTCGTGGATTTGAAAAAAATAAATAAATAAAATAAACATATCATATTGATAAAGTTTTAGTGTGGGCATAAAAATCAATTTTGATTTGATTGAACTTTATTTCATATAAACCTAAGAGAATCAGACGTTTGAAAAAATAAAATATTAATAGTAAATAATCATACCATATTTGTAAAGTTTGATTTGAAATATTGAGGCATAAAAATCAATTATGATTTGATCACATTTTATTTTATAGAAATTATCTTAGAAAATTTTACACGTTTCAAAAAATTAAAGATTATAATTTTGTAAATTAAAGTTTTGGATTTGTCCAAATAAATAGATCAAAATAAAAATATTATTTTTCAATCTATCCAAAAAGTCTTACCAAATTTCATTGTAACAAACTTCATTATTTTTGGCTACATAATCTTCTAAATATTGGTTCGTCCCTCATAAGTGAATCACGTTCCACATTTTTTTTCTTTAACAAAACCGATAACACATATTTTTAGAAGTCAATCATAATCATACTAAAAAAAATCGGATCGGATCATATTAAATACCTTACGTAAATATTTTTTTATTTCCTAGGCATATGGCACATACACATGACTATATAAACATCACCAACGTTGAACAAAAAGTATTCGACATCCAATATATCCCACAAAACAATTTTTTCTACAAGCTTTTACATCACCATTGAAAATGGCTTCGGATTTTGGAGTAATCAAGGATATCAAAAGATCCAATAAGCCACCAATCAAGCTACGCATAATTAGGATGTTCCAACGAGTTGAAGACGTACGCAATTACCGAAATGTGCTTGAGATTATCTTTTATGATTTTGAGGTAATATATTCATTTAGTATTATTTAAATGCATCATTTTATGCAACATCTTTTATAATTTATTTATTGAAGTATTCATTATGCAATGTTTTAGGGAGGATGAATTACTAGCATAATTCGACATGTCAATATCCAAAAAATCATCGGTGATATTGAAGAAGGTGACGCTTATATCTTGACAAACTATCAAGTGAAAAGCAATACTGGCATCCATAAATCGACGATAGGTAAAAGGAGGATCATTATCAATGGTCAAACCAAGATTATCAAATGGATGGGTTATTTATCAAATGGAGAGGTGATTTATCAAATGGAGGGGTGATTTCTCTATTTCTAACTTTAATGGATGTTTGTAACATTGATGAAGTCATGCTGTTTGGTACGTTATAATTTTTTTGTTTATTTCTTATTTCGATTTTTTTAATTTAAAATCTGTAATAAACTATTTTATATGTTATACATTTCAATATGATGCATTTTCTTATATTTTTGTAGATGTTATTGGATTAATTGTTTCCCATTATGTTTTCTTACAACATGACTATAAACAAGAGTCAGAAACAATTGTTATCGCATGTGGGCTTCTTTCTTAAGAAACCAGTGTTTAGTCATGGTCAATTGTATGTTGCTGTCTCCCGTGTCACAAACAGAAATGGGTTTGAAAGTCCTAATTTGCGGCGACGATGACGTGCCAAAGAATCAAACCATGAACGTTGTATATAAGGAAGTGTTCAATAATATATAGATTTTATTATCATTGTATTTATTAATTTATTTATTATTAATGGCATGATCTTTTCTTTAGTAAGTACTTTGAATTTTAACTGAACATTGCTTTATAAAAAGGACGAAGATAATAAACCTCCGTGCATCGCACGGGACTGTACTAGTAATAATAATAATAATAATAATAATAATAATAAAACCGTTTAGTTTGCAAAAATCAAAATGGCAGATTTATGTCTCATTGAATTTTCTCTAGTTTTGCATTCTTATCCGACTATCTATCAACACGTCATCTCCGTCAACCTTCAGATTAGCGACATCAATGGAGGAGCTGGGCAATGCAACCCCAGAGACTCACGACTGCGTAGTTAAGCTGGTGACTGCCTCTAATTTGTTCCATCAGACAATTTTGTATATGTAATATGTACACATACGATGTGATGGGAACCGATCAATATTCAACTATTTTGTTTTTTTCCCCCTTAATTCGGCCATTGTTTTCGATTGGCAGAGGCCTAATCCGAGACGGCGGAAGGAGAAGGTGGTCATAGGCTGCGGCGCCGGTTTCGGCGGCGATCGGCCGCTGGCGGCCCTGAAATTGCTCAAGAGAGTGAAGGAATTAGACTACCTGGTGCTCGAGTGCTTGGCTGAACGCACGCTGGCCGAGCGACACGGTGCCATGATGTCCGGTGGCAAGGGTTACGATCCTCGCAGTATGATTACTTTTTTCTTTTATACATTTCGTTTTTTTTTTCCCTTTATTCACAAATTACTGCTGTATTAGTAATTTATTGAGCTGCTGATTGTGGAATTTGATGTGAATTGTTGGTTGCCTTTAAGTTTCTTTGTAACTTTTGCTCGTTTTAACCTGTGTGTGAGCGCTCAACGAGTGACAATCAGGACCAGGTTTGAGGATTAGTCAATGTGTATGCTGAGAATGGTCAACATGTTGTGCAGTTTCGGAATGGATGCAGTTGCTTTTACCTCTGGCGGTCGAGAGAGGGGTTCACATTATTACCAATATGGGTGCCAGTGAGTATTTAGTGGTTTATATACTTTTTATGGTCATTGCTTGCTTGCTTTTGTTGTTATTATATACCAGTCATTCATGCATTCAAGATTTTGGAACTGTTTTGGTCATATAATACTCATCTGTACCCTTGTTCTAACTCATGACCCATGGGCAGAGTCTCCACACGATGCCCAAGAAGAGGTTTTACGAGTTGCTAGCGAATTGGGGATTCATATAAGTGTCGGACTGGCTTACCAATCATCTGTTTCAGAAATGGGTATTTTTTTTTTTTTTAACATTAGGCAGTGAATCGTCATGAAAATGTATATCAGATGATGCTAACTTACCTTTTCTTGGAACACGTTCAGGAGTGGAGAATCAGCAGAAATATTTTGATGGTGTAAGATTTTGCCACTATTTAGTTTTCAGTGAGTAGCACTCATCATACATATATTATTTCGAGTTTATATATTTCGTTGGACATTTGCTTTCTGAACATGAAACCTTCTTGTGGGTCCCAAATAAATATGAAAATACATCTAGAGTATTCAATATTTTCCTGTGGTGTAGGGTGTAGGAGCAACTTCTACGTCATATATTTTAGACCTTAGCTTTGGTCTGTGCAGGATGTTAGTGTATATCTTGGAGCAGCTCCAATAGTTGAATGTCTGGAGAGGTATAGTCCAGATGTTATAATCACTTCTCGAGTTGCTGACGCATCTTTATTCTTAGCCCCTATGGTATGAATCTATATCACCCTTTTATCTAGGAATACCCTTTTCTCGTGAAATGAACTCATCAGAGGATTTTATTTTGTGGTCAGGTGTTTGAATTAGGATGGAACTGGAACGAGTTCCAGCTCTTAGCACAAGGCTCTTTGGCGGGTCACCTTCTAGAATGCGGTTGTCAACTCACAGGGGGTTATTATATGCATCCAGGTGATCTTGTGCTCTGTCAAGCTGTGGTTCAAAATATTTGTGTGCCATACTTTCTATTGCTTGTCAAGTTAATTCTAAGACAGATCTATGTGTAATTTCTGCAAGGTGATAAACACCGAAACATTTCTTTCCAAAGTCTCCTTGACTTGTCTCTGCCATTTGCTGAAGTCACTTTCGACGGCACAGTAAATGTTGCAAAGGCCGAATGCACAGGTGGGGTCCTAAATTTCAACACTTGTGCTGAGCAACTTCTCTATGAAGTTGGGGATCCTAGTGCATACATTACTCCAGATGTGGTTGGTTCAGTTTTGCATATTGTTATATTTTACTACGATCATCATTGTTATTAATTTTTTTGGTTCTTATGCTTGAGTTGATGAATAATTAAGAGAAATGATTCAAAACTTGATCCTCTGTTCTACCCAGATTGTAGATTTTCAGGATGTTACATTTCAATCATTGTCGGATAGCAAAGTTCTCTGCTCAGGAGCAAAGCCCTCTCTTGAACCAATACCTAAAAAAATGTTGCTGCTAAGGTCAAAGGTAACCTTTGTCCGCACCATCAAAATACTGCATAGTATTGTTGTGGTTTGTATCATGTTTAGGCATAATATTGCATCTTAAGTGGGGTTTCGCTTTTTTGGTAGTCACCATTCCTGGTATTCGCTGAATTATTTTTTAGGTGACACTAAATCTTTCTTACGTCCGATTTGTTCTTGTTTGCAGGAGTGTGGATGGAAAGGCTGGGGAGAAATCTCGTATGGAGGTTATCAATCTATACAACGTGCAGAAGCTGCTGCTTTTCTGGTGAACTTTTCCAGCATCTATGCGTGAAATATTATGCATTCTTTTTCATTTTTTCCTGACTACCGTTGAGTTTAGGCCAGTTCTCTCTTTTCACAAACTATCTCTTACAAGTAGTGTACGCATAGCATGACAAAATTGTTTCATGGCTACAGGTGTGGGCATGGATGGAGGAACTATATCCTGGTACCAGCAAAAATATTATTTCCTATATTATTGGTCTGGATAGCCTTAAGGCAACGTTCATCAACGATATACATTCAAAGCCTAGTGATGATATTAGGTTAAGAATGGATGGCCTGTTTGATAAAGAGGAGCATGCTGTCCAGTTTACTAATGAGTTCACGGCTTTATACACTAATGGACCTGCGGGTGGTGGTGGAATCAGGTCTTTATTTGCTCTTCCTTTTCATTTTTTAAAACTTGATAAGGTCTTTCTGGTCACAAATGGTTTACATCTCTCATTATCTAAGAAGCTGTTACATTTGCCAAGTCCACATATAACTAGAGCTTTTTTGAAGATTTCAATCTGTCCCGACTGTGAAACATCTGGCGCCCTACACCCCCAACAAAAAAAAAAAAATGTTTCACTCATGTACAACTTAGTTAATTATGCTTGCTTCCATTTCCTTATTTTATGCAGCTGCGGATGCAAGAAAGAGATCTTTCTTGAGAAAGAATTGGTACGCTTCTTCTCTCCATGTGTATTATTCTATATAATATACATATACACGTATGTTGCTAATTAAGAAAAGTATCCTTGAGGGTTAATGTAATTACAAAGAAGCTCCACCCATTTTTCAAAATTACAATTGTTCCCATGAAGCATGTTTCTAAAACACGAATTCTCGGCCATACACAGGTCAAACGCGAACACGTCAATTGGCAAGTTTCCGTGGACGGAAACAACACAATCCACTCGACCAATCAAAACACAAGCCATATGGCTGCAAGCCCAAAAACTTCCCAGCACGAATCAAACCCGCCACAAACTGCACGCATATCAAGCCAAGAACCGATAACCTACACAGAGGCCCGGCTCTCCCCAGCTCCAGCTAGCCAAAATGTTCCTCTTTTCGAAGTGGCCCACAGCCGAGCTGGAGACAAAGGCAACGACTTGAACTTCTCCATCATTCCTCATTATCTGCCAGATATCGAGAGGCTTAAGACGGTTATAACCCCAGAATGGGTAAAGGAGGTTCTAATGCCCCTTCTGAATCCCTCTTCCTTTCCCGATCGTGATGATGTGGAGAAAAGGGACAGGTGGGCCCGTGAGCATGTTGAGGTGGAGATTTACGAGGTTAGGGGGATTTGTGGGCTGAATGTTGTGGTCCGGAATATTCTGGATGGTGGGGTCAACTGCTCGAGAAGGATAGATAGGCACGGTAAGTCTGTATCGGATGTCGTGTTGTGCCGGCATGTTGTGTTGCCACCTTGATGCATTTGGGGGTTTATTGTGTTTGTTTGCATATAGGAGATTGTGATGTATTATACATTGTGTAAATTGTGTTGTGGAAGAGCTTTTAGAAGCTGGGATCTTATACTGATGTGTGTTGTTATTGAGTGTTGATANATAGATATTCTCATTAAGAACAAACCAAGGTACATTACAAAGTACATTACAAACAAGAAAATCCGAGAGCTGGGAGAACTACCTGATTGTGGCCTAGAGAACAACCGACCAATATCCATACAAGAATAAGGCAGTAACACACAACCGAAGTCCTTATTCTTGTTCAGTTTGACAAAGACACAAATATATCCTTATTCTTGTTCAGTTTGACAAAGACACAAATATAACAGGAAAATAGAAAAAAAGACAGCACAATATGATAGAAAGAGAAGTACTAGACTAGACTTTCTGAAGCTTTGACCCCCCATTATCCATGTAATTCAACCAGTCTTGCATTGCAGCATGGACTATGAGGTGACCTGGCCTTCTCAGATGTTCAAAGACCCGAAGATTTCGACATTTCCAAAGCCAAAGGATGTAGGTGGACAATTTTAAAATTCTGTTTTTGAGATTTTGGATGTGAAATGATGCAATGGAATGAAAGTGATGTGTTTTATGTAAGTACCAATGAAATGTTGATATTTGTTTGGTTATTATTGGAGGCGGCTTTGCTATGGAGCCATTGGATGGCTCGGCTTATGGAGTTATTCATAGTTGATGTATTGCCACGTGTCCTGCAATAAATAATGTAAATTTATTGGAGGTGCCCTTGTAGTTGAACAATTTCTTTTGTAATAAATTATGTAAATATGTAAAAATTGTTTGAGTGAAAAATGTGTGTTAAAGAGTATGATTTTTATTTTTATTTTTTTTCCTTGGAATAATCAAATAGCTTTTAAATTGAGAATGAGTATATGATAAGATGTAATGATTAGAAATAGGAATTAATAAATTAATGCCAAAATATTGTATTGTTTATTTGCTTTATTACCTTCTGTTTTACCTCATTATTCATTGTTGTATGTGCGGATAAAAATATTATTGAAACACAACTTTATTTTAAAATTTTTGAAGAATTACTTCCAAAAATATGGTCAACTGACAGTCTTGCGAATCTTCAACTTTTGCAACTTCATTGGTTTACACTTACTAATAAAATGATATTAGTGTCTTCTTTGAAGATTTAACAAAAGGGTTCTCACTACAAATTCAGATATATTACAAAGGTTGTTTCTTTTAGCCCTGATTTATTTTTTTAACAAATATAAATATTTTTATTAGAAAAACTATACTTTAAAAAACATTATTAACATAAAACATATGTATATCATTAGATAGTACGTATTTTTGTTTATATAGTATGATTGGTCGACCTTTTTGATGGTTAAACTGTCTCACAAAAAAAATTATGATGAACAATATAAGAACAATTGAATATAAATCACCAAGCCTTTGAATAAACGATGATTGTTGAGTAGATATATTTATAGTTCAATAGCAAACACTGCAAAATCCTCTCATTTTCTTTCAAACAAATGAAGACCTCTCTTTGCATGCCACAAAACAGCACAAAACTGAGGTGGAAAACTACTTCACACAGACCGTTCATAACAAACAAAACTACCACACACACACACACCAAAAGAACAATTTTATTTATTTATTTATTTTTTTGTTCCAAAAATCATCAAAAAAAAGTCAACCATTGTTCTCTGCACTTTAACCGCAGCCCAAAATTCCCCATCCTTAAATCAGTAACAAGAATTATGGCCACTCCAATCACGTGTCCTAATTTCAGATCACAACTAGTGTTTTTTTCAAACTGATCCATCCATTCTTGTAAGAGAAAGAAAATTGATAAAAGAAATTTACAAAAATTGCGCCTTTTTTTTTCCATATTTTTTTCTATATTTGGGTAGTTGATATAAAACCACTTATGTTATTACAGAACAAAGAATTTCCCTTTTGGTCTCTCAATAGCTTAAAAATAGGATTGAAATTTGCAGTTGAATCCTATAGATACAGAGCAGCATAAAGTTATTGAGATTCTCAAGGGGGAGAGTATAATAGCAACATCAAGAAGAAGAAGAAGAAGAAAAATAAAATAAAATAACATAAAAATGGCATCATTCACAGGAACTCTTGACAAGTGCAAGGCTTGCGATAAGACCGTTTATTTCGTCGACTTATTGTCTGCTGACGGGGCGACTTACCACAAATCATGCTTCAAATGCAGCCACTGCAAAGGGACCCTTGTCGTGCGTTTTCTTATTTTCTAAATGTTTTTTTGCATTATAGTAATCTATTTTTATAGGCATTTCTCGAATGAAACTCTAATTGTGAGTTGCCGATTTTTATTTTTGGGAAAATGGGACACGTTTTTTATTTTTTTATTTTTTCGCAAAATGTTGTGTTTGGCAGATGAGCAACTACTCTTCCATGGATGGAGTTCTCTACTGCAAGCCTCACTTTGAGCAGCTTTTCAAGGAGTCTGGAAATTTCAGCAAGAATTTCCAAAATGGTGATCACCTTTGTTTATCCTTACATATTCATCGATAACTTTAGTTTTATGTGTCCTTACTGATGTGGTTGTGTTGGTTTTGGTAACTAATTGAGCAGGAAAACCAGAGAGGGAAAATTCACTGGTAAGTGTCTCATGCTTTTTTATGGCCTAATCAACCTCATATACAATGTGATTTTTGAGGAATTTATTACCAAAATATTGTAATTTCCNGTATGCAGACAAGGGCACCTAGCAAGCTATCAGCATTGTTCTCTGGTACTCTAGACAAATGCCCTGCCTGCAACAAAACTGTATATCCCCTAGAGAAGGTATGTTTTTATTTTTATTTTTTCCATCTTTGATCACATATATTTCACCTATAAAAACGAGAAAAAGTTGTTAGGCAGCCTAACTGTTAGCCTGCTTACTCAAAAAAAAAATCCTGTTATTTCCTGCGGTTTGTCACGAAATACCAACCTCAACTAATCACCATCCTTAAAGTGGCTGCATTTGTCAAAATTCACACTTTGAAGACAAAGATGTAAATAATCATCTTAAAAAGTTCAAATTTTTACCCTAAACGTACGACTATTATGCTGTTCTGCATAAAAACCCTACTGTTTGTGAAATTTTGCTTGCTTTTACATAACTGTCATTTCTTTTTTCTTTTTTTTTACCAGATATATACATATAATATAATTAATATTTTCTTCATATATTATACATTTATTCAATAAATTATATCTCAAACTTTATTTTGTTTTGCCCTTGAAAACTAGGTGATTATGGAGGGAGAATCATTTCACAAGTCATGCTTCAAGTGTGCCCATGGAGGCTGCCATCTCACACACTCATCCTATGCTGCTCTTGATGGTGTCCTCTACTGCAAGGTCCATTTTCAGCAGCTTTTCATGGAGAAAGGAAATTACCAACACGTCCTCAACTCCGCCCATCACAAGAAGGGGGCAGTCGAGCCTGTTGAGTCGGAATCTGATGAGGCTGAGAAGCCAAAGGAAAAGACGAATGCAGAGGAGAAAGTGGATTCGGAGGGGAAAGTGGATTCAGAGGACGAGGCTGACAAGGCACAAGAACAATCCCCGAAGAAAAAAGATTCCGACGAAAGCGTATAATTTCGGATTTTTTATTTTCTTTAAGTTTTGCTGCCATATACAAGATTAAGAGATTCTTATAAATTCCTTCTATCTTTTGCTTGATTTTTATTTTTTTTATTTTTTTGGTTTTCCTTTTAGTTCTTGATACATTTATAATAATGCATGTCCTTTGTTGTTAGTGTTCAAGAAGTTTGTGTAATTTTACTAATTTTAATATTTATTCAAAACCATTTGTACATTGTTCTTTAGATATGCAAACGTTATGGTAAATTTTAGAAATGTTCTTTTTATTAATGTATAAATGCGGCTGGTGTATAATTTACAAAACTAGTAGAAATGCCAATATTACAAGAAGTAACAACAAAAGGTTTAAAATTTCCAAGCAGAAGAGAAAAACGTGTGTATCACCCACATTATGAAGTATTCCTTATGTCTATAGATTCACAAAAGGCACGATTCAAACCAACGGATGAAAAACGATAGACGTTCATCTTGTTAGCTCAGGAAGAGAGTCGTACACTGATATAGTGTGTCCTCGGGGCTAATAACTGATTTCAAGTGGCAGATAATAAGATTACATCATTGAAGAAATAATAATGATAGCAAGTAGCAGATCATAAGTTCACATCATAACAGATGCATAATATATTAATAACCATTTGGTTGCAAGCAATCCTTTTCCCTTTCTCACTAACATATATTGGTTTATTTAAAGTGTGAAATTATTTCAGTTGCAGAGATGGCCATTTATAGAGCAGAACTAGATTATTATAGCCGTTTGATGCGAATTTTCTGTTGTCCATTTATTAAAAATGACGATTATTACTAAGAAAAGGGGAAAGATAAGCTGACCTGTGTGGCCTTTGGTTCTCTCTGATTCATAGATTTCAAAGTCATTTCCTCCCTATTTAAGTGATGAAAAAGTGAAAGGCAAAGAAAACATTAGTTGTTTGAAGCATGGTCCGAACAAAAAATGAAAGAGCGAATAAATAACAAATTGATAATACAAAACCTACCACCATTCGTTTAGCATAATTAAATAAATAGTGAAATTATCCTTGCTTGTGAGTTTTGCATCTCAGTCAATACACATTACTGAGGGTGAAATTTCAAAAATAGAAACGAATATCAAGGAAAGGTTAGGTATTTTTGTAACAAAACCGAACCTCGTGTTCCTTTTTGCTTCTATTTTTTCTGAAATAAATTTAGGGTGCAAACAAACCAGAGTTACAATTTTTATAGAAATGAGAGCTCAACACACCTTATATGTCTTATCTCCAAAGAAGTGAATTTCATGAAAGTCATTCAAATACCGCAAGCAATATGTTTTGTCCCAGCCTTGAGGGAAAACCTGCTCCCAATCATTTTGGTCAGATATATATATATCTATATATATATATATATACATATATATATATATTTATTTATATTTGTATATCTTTTTCACAATAACTGGAAAAAATAGCGAATGTAAAAAAATTGCTTACATCAAAACTGATTTGTCCACCAATAGAGAATGTTAGTTTAAAATGTGCAAACTTCTCCCGGAGTACAGACACCATTTTGAGGCGAATGTTGTTTACCTAATGATATTTAAAGAAAAAGTTGTATAACGACTAGTCGAACGAGCATAAACAATTCAAATTAAAATCAAACTATGATATCTTCTTCTTTATATATATATTCACGTAAAATTTATACCTTATCATACTTTTCAAACTCGTCTCGTTCTTCCTGACTGCAGTTTCTTCCAATTGGTGATACATTAAGCATCCCACTTCGAAATTCGATAAATGTTCCCCTGAAATAAATAAGTAAAAATAAAAAGTTGGTCCAAGAAGTCCATAATAAATGATCGTGAGCTATTTGAACTTGAGGTTTTTCCCTACCTTTTAATAGGAATATCCAGGTCAGCAATGTAATGTAGAGTGAAGTTGATGAACTCCTGCATCATTATTCACAGTATATTCAACTTGATTCTGGCCACAAATCTTAATATTAAGATTGCTATGTAATGCATTAAGAAAAAAAAAAAGTCATATAATAATGTCTAATATCGACATTGTTGGTTGTCATCATCCACCAAACCAGCCTATGTGCAAAATCAAACAATAAAAGAAGAAGTTCTTCAATGTCACATGTACAGATCTATTTTCTTACCGAACAACATAACCTTATTTTCTCTAAATTCAACAAAAATTAAGTTCAGAGAATAATGCAGCGGATTCTAACCTTGAGCTTGTCATCCCCAAGAAATGACTTCAAGCTCTGCGTGCAAATATATATCAAATTGTCAAATTGAAAAACTAGCATGAGAAAAAATAAAAAAATAAAAAAAAAATTAAAAAATCCAACTACCATTTTTCTTTAAAATTTATAACATGTCCCAAGTAAGGGACTACCTGTTTTCCAATTAAATTTCCATCCTTGTAAGCCACGAGACCATTCTCGACAAACACATAATCATAGTCGTTTATAACTGTGTAGGCCAATAATAAAGAGTATCTTTAGCAAGCCAAGCACAATGGTAAATGAAAAAATAATTTAATAAATGAGTACAATACATTTCGAATAAGGGTCTTGGAGGTTGACCTGTGTTCCCAAGCTGCTCTGATATCTTAACGAGATCAGAACCTCCAACCACACCAACAGTAACAACCTAGGAAATTGTAAAAATACAACATTTAATCTTTAAACGAGTAATGCCCTTTATTATTATGGTTTACTTGTCCACGAGTTTTTCAAGGAAGATTTTTTGAAAGTCAAGCCTCTCACAAATGAGATTGCCCGTGAAATTAAATAATGTACGAAAATAATACCTTCTTAAGTTCTTGCATGAACTGTAACATCTTCGGAGTTGCCACCTGAAACAATCAGGTTAGGAACATTCATCAACCCACCAAAGTGCATATATATGTGCATTTGTGAGCTTGTGTGCGCCTAAGATGTTTTAACTGATAAGTTAGCTTATAGCTTTTATGTGAATTTCAAACTTATAGCTGACAGCTTATAACTTATAGCTGGAAAGCTAGCTTATAATTATATGATTGTTTGGTAAAATTAACTAATAAGATAGTTGAAATAAAAATTTCAATGGGCTTATTTGAAAAGTTACCCAAGAAAGCTTATGAGATAAGCTCGAGCTTTTTAAAAAAATTCGTCCTACCAAACCGAACCTATTTGAATACATGAAACTTATAAGTTAATCAAATAAGCTATAAGCTAGCTTATATGCTTACTAAACACAGCCTTAATATGTATTGATCAAGCCAACCACAAGACCATGTTCTAAGATGCATATCTTCAATGCCCACATAAAATATATCAAAGTTTCATCAAAATAATCATCAGACAACTGAGAGTGTAAATTTCAGAACTACAAATTCAACCATTCACCATTTGAGGTATATACGGATAACAGTAACACAGTCTTTTATATCGATCACATGTAAAACTATTGCTGTTCAAATACATTACTTGCAGCAATAATTTCGGCCACTAGCGCCCCAATAAATATCCATTAACAAGATATTAGTACGCACATTCAATAATCGGCATATCAACTCAAATCAACCATTAGACACCCTAAACTAAAACAATAAAACTAATTCAACCAAGAACAGGATTTCCAGATTGTCTAAACTAAAACAATAAAACTAATTCAACCAAGAACAGGATTTCCAAATTTCCCCAGAACAACTAAAACAAAATTTATACCTTCGAACATAGTATTCCCAATATATGCAGAAAAATGGCAAACTATGCGAAAGCAAAGCAACTCTATTTTACATTTTTTGGAAAAAGATCACACCTTTCTAGGAGCTGTAAGCGTACCATCAACATCAAAAAGAGCAATCAAACCAGGTACCCTTTTGCCCATTTCAAATCAGCGCTGCAAATGATTGCAGTAAAATCGAATGGGTAAATTGGGTTGCCTGAGTCAATCTGAAGCTCTAATTTAAAAAATAAAAAAATAAAAAAAGAGAGAGAAATTAAGAGCCGATCCAAAGAGGAATAGTAGTTGCTCTTGCAAGTGAGAATGTGGTTTATATGGGCACTCAAGATCTCAACATTTCCAATAATTTTGTAATGTTGTTTTTGTGGGGAATTGCAGAAAAAGAGTATTAATGGGGATTTTGCTCTACAAGCAAAGTGCCACTGGATTTTCCTTTTCTATATTTAGTTTGTTTTGTTTACTCAAGTTGTTTTGTTCTACCAGCAAAGTACACATTGGGTTTTCCTTTTCTATTTATAGTTTGTTTTGTTTTCTCAAGTTTGTGCCAGCTGACTCATGAAGACTCATCAGAGTCAGCACTGATTAAATATATACATAGTGTTACTATTCACCGTCCCATTTGAATAGTTTTGCTCCTGAATTTTTTTTTAAAAAAATTAAAAAAAAAAAAATCTCCCGCCGGTTAGTCGGCGAAACCAACCATAGTTGCTGGTTGGCCGCACCGTGCACGGTCGCAATTGTCGGTAGGCTGCGCAAAACTTTTTTTTTTTAATAATAAAATGTTTATTTATTATATAAATTATGTTAGAATTTAGATATTATTATATTATAAATTAAGGTTTATTATCTTATAGTTAGAATTTAGAAATTATTATGTTATATAACATAATACTAATTATCTGCAACAAAATACTAATTATCTGTACAAAATAATATAAAATTTATAGTTATTGTCTACTAACAAAAATATACATTAAATAATATAAAGATTTATAGCTATATTTTAAAATAATACTTTTTCAAAAATAAAAATTTATTTCTAATACTAATTAAATTTCGAATAATGTAAAAAATAATTTTACAAGAGAACCAATTCTAATTTATAACATAATAATTTATAAATTCTAACATAATAATAATCAATTCTAATTTATAACTTAATACTTTCTAAGTTCCAACATAATAATAAAAATAATCAATTCTAATTCATAACATAATAATTTCTAAATTCTAACATAATATCTATAATAAATATAAATTTGATTTATAAAAAACAAATCTGGCCGACTGGCGATACCGGAGGCCGGAATTTTTTCCTTTTTTTTTAGTGTTTTGAAAATTGTCAGGAACAGAACGGTCTAAGAGGGTGGTAGGTAGTAAAAAAGGTTGTGTTTAGCAATTCACATGTATATATGACACTAAACTAAAATCAATTTGGAATTAGAAACAACAAAAGGGCACCTAATAGAGATCTTAAACGGGCTAGCCCTAGCAGTTTTAAGTTAAGAGAAAATTACATATTCTACTACACAATTCCATCTTTATTTCACATTTACAACCCCTATATATTTATTTGCAAAGTAACTAAAATTATTATATTATTTGCATATATACTTGAAGTTGATTTGAATAGGTAACTTCCCTAATTATATGGATTGAATTGGTAACTCTTCTTTTCTCTCTCCTTCTCTCTCTCTCTTTTTTTTTCGTTATCTTTCACCTCTCTCTCTTCTTCACACGCCATATCGGAAAAATTTCTTTAGCCTCATCTTTGTCGCTGGCCCGTCATGTGAAAGCCCAGTAAACCATGAGAAGAAAAGCGACATGAAATTCAGACACACTTTGTCTTGAAATTAATAATAAGGATCTCTGTTAGACTAAAGATGTGATGAATATATAAAAATATATTCCTCACCTTTTTTTTTTCTTTTTGTGAATTTTTTTCTAGATTTGCTGGGAGATCTTTTTTTTCTTCATCTACTTTTTGGCAACAAGTTAAGAGAGATTATCTTTATCACCTTTTCGGCAACATAGATCAAAACAACAAAAAGAAAAAGAGAAGAAAAAAATGAAAAGAAAAGAACATGGTGGTCATTGTGGCTGACAGCCGGAGGCCACGGGGGTTGTGCCGTGGTGGCTATGACGGTCGCTGGATTGGCCAGACGTGGGCTGGAGGAGAGCTCGTGACTGAAAAAAGGAATTGATTTCTGAAATTTAAATTTGTGGTATAATGTCTTTTCTGTATATCTTCTGTATATATTTCGTATATAATGTGTATATATTCCGTATATAGTGTATATATTCCGTATATATTTTATATATGTCGTCGGTATATAATGAGTATATTTTCTGTCTATAAGTCTGATCGTGTATTTTGTATGTATTAAACCAGAAAATATACTATAAATATACAGAAAAAAACACAAGATGTAAATAACAAAAAAAGTAAACAAAATAGAATTTTTAAAATAAAAAATTACCAAGTTGATTTCATATATTTTTCAGACTTATATGTTTTTTGTATATCTTCTGTATATATTCTGTATAAACGCAATATATACCCAAAAAATAAATAACACATAAAAAAAACCGAATTGAGGTACTATATTATTTACTGCGCCAAAAAATAAATAAGGTACGGTTAGTAGGGTATAACAACATCCTAATTATTAGGGTATATAAGCTTACTATATTTTTTTCTTAGTGCAAATCCTATACTCCTATACATGCGCAAATTAAGGGACGGTTACATTTATTTGGTAACTGATATTTTTTTCTTTCACAAATAAATGCAATTCATTTGGTAAGAATGCAAATAAAATCTCATCTCTCGCACAAGTGTAAATACATTAAAATCAGTAACGTATAAGTGCAAATTACCCTTAAGTTAACTTTAACAGGCTTCGGACTAAATGGTCCGGGCTTAAAAAGCCCGAATTTAAACAGTCTACCAATAGAGGGACCTAACTCTGATTCTAGCGGCTCTTGGGATATAGGGGCTATAATAATAATAATATACAAAAAATTACACGACTGGTTAACGATTTTTTTTTTCAATGGCTACTTAGTATTACGACTTTATATATACAACTACACTTCATATGCGAACACACATTAAACATATTTTCTGTAGAAACAAATGTTCGAACTATTATTTATAATTACCATTTTACAACTTAGTTTGTACACATTGGAGATTTTTCAATATTGTATCATACTGCTGAATTTATATTTTATCACTATAGTTTATGTATTAGGTCTTTGTATCATGTGTTTCTGTTAGCCGTTCTAATTGGCTTAAATATTTCGGTGTGAAGTAGAATAACAAAATTGTTAACAATTAGGGTTAATTGCAAATAAAATCTTAACCTTTTGTCTAATTGCAAATAAAACTCAACTTTTTCAATTTGGCAAAAAAATACCAAACCTTTAATAAGTGTTGCATTTGTGTCTCAATAACCTTCCGCCGCCAACCGCCACCCGCTGCCGGCTAACTTCGCCGAATGTTGAAAATTTTTACATGATCTTGTAGCTCTTCTGCGTGCCGACAACATATCCGAGTTTCACGAAAAAATTCCGACGATAAGGAGATGACCGGAAAAGTCGTCATCGGAAAAAGTCACCGGTTCCAGCGAAGGCGGACATCACTAGATGCGGCTTTGCGAGAGGAGTTCAAAGGTACCTTCGGATTCACGTGGGTCAAAGCGAGTCACCGGGACTTTGCGAAAGAACGCCGGGAAAAATTTGTAGATCTACGAGCTTTGACAGGAAAATTGGAAGCCTTATTGTCTGAATTTTTTCGTGAAACTCGGATATGTTGTCGGCACGGAGGAGAGCTACAAGATCATGTAAAAATTTTCAACATTCGACGAAGTTGGCCGGCGGCGGATGGCGGTTGGCGGCGGTCCCGCGGCGGCGGAAGGTGATTGAGACACAATTGCAACACTTATTAAAGGTTTGGTATTTTTTTGCCAAATTGAAAAAGTTGAGTTTTATTTACAATTAGACAGAAGGTTAAGATTTTATTTGCAATTAACCCTAATAATTATCTTTCAAAATCATAATAACCAATTACAGCTCATACTTACATGTGAAGTAGAATAGTAAAATTGTAATATACAAAGAATCTTGAAGCATATTCCTTACCTGCTGCAAATATTTACACCGTCCAACCTAAGTTAAACAGGCTAACCCTAGCGAGTTTCGGACTAAAGCGTACGAGCCTATAAAGCTCAAATTTAAACGGGCTACCCGTAAAGAGTCCTAACTATATATTTCTTTTCAAGCTAAATGTACTGATACATCGGACCAAGGACCATTTCACACCTCTAGCATCGAAATATGCGCCAAGACAACACCTGGACAACCAAAGATGGAATTTGGTAGATTATGCCTCCATTTTACCTTTTTTATTATTTCTATTTTTATTTTATTTTCAGCGTGCGATTGTATATGGCAATTTACTTTTTATAAGGTCAATCAAATTTTTTACCTAAAACTGAATTTTAAAATAATAATAAAAAAAAAAATCAGTTTCATCTCATTTTATTCATTTCTATACAACCACACAAATACAATCATAACAACCTCAATTAAGAAATGTTAAAATTTAAATCCTAATTTGATACAATTCCAAAAATTGATGCATGGTTTTTCCCCATATACTAATTTGAAACACTGGTAGCATGATGCAACTGATGCACTCAAAATGTTTATGGATTGCGTAACCAGATTGGATAATTTTTTTATGAAAAAATTCTGTCTCGTCGGAAAAAAAGTGAGATAAAAAAAGTAACACAAAAAGTTGGTCCTAAACCAATCTCACATTCACATACACCAATAGACTATAGAGACATTAAAACCATAGCAGAATCTCCCTAAAGCTACACAGCTTTTTCATCTTCACCACTAGAGATAAATATTCCTCTCAACTTTCAACCCAACAGCAACATTAAAACCAATATCACATTCACAGACATATAATCCAATCATCGAACAAATTTACAGCGTCCTAAACTCGAGTTCCCGCAAGTTCAGCCTGGGTAGCTGCTTCATTAATTGCATCAATGACATCCATTTTGCCCCGAGTGACTGCCTCATCAACGGGAGTCCTCTCATGACTGAAGATCACATGTGCACAATATCTTAAACTCGATGGGGGTAAAATTAACAATATTTTACTCATACTACGTTTGAAATTTGAAGAATGGGTAGCAAAGTTACTTACCTGTTGAGCGACGTGAGACTGGCGCCAGCAAGGATGAGATGTTTGACAACCTATGAAAATGCGTAAATTATGAGTTTGATAGAAATGAAAACTTGGAAAGTCACAAGCTGGTAACAAGGTAAAAAAAAGGTCAAATACCTCAATGTGGCCATTGAGACAGGCCCAGTGAAGAGGCGTGTTTTTCTCTGTGTTGCTTGTATTCACGTCCTGTTCCCAACAGAGAGAGAGAGAGAGAGGTCTGTAAATCCTCAACAGCATAAATTTTGTTCATCCCAAATCTGGAAAATTCTAATGAATACCAAGAAAAAAAGAAGCCTACTAAACTTCAATACTGCCAACAATAAGATTTCGGACACCAAAACGTAAAAATCCTACCATCCAAAAAGACGTTAGTATTTTGCAGTATGGATCATTTTTTCGTTTCAAAACAAGTAGACTCGCTAAATCGACTAACTGGAATAGATCTAATTCACGTTACATCGAACAGTGAATAACATCATCCAACTACACGTTACAAGCATTTCAAATGCTTAATATCCGGAAGGTAATTCTCTTGAAGAACTACATGTGCATATCATAAAGAATTTACGCAAAAAGCAGCCTACAGTGCGGCATCCTCGGAAAATCAAGTATGAGTTTACAGTTAATAATACACAACATTGAACAAGGACAGAGCGCAACTCTAATATTTGCCCAAAGAACATCAAGATAAACAACCAAAGCTCGAGCATTCACACATGGCAATGAGAAAGCAAAAATATGAAAAATTATCATATTGCTCCCTTACCGCACCACTGCTGATAAGAAAATCGACAATTTCGAGATGTCCATTTGCCGAAGCCATATGCAGCGCTGCCAAGTTACACAATCATATAGAAACCACCCATGAAATGAAATGACAAGGAACGAATATCAAACAAAGCAATTTCTGTAAAACAAGTATATAAATATCAAAGCCCTGGTAGGCTTGGCGAGCCTATGTTGTCTCAACATAGCAGGTCCGCCTATGTTAACTCCGCCTATGCTGTCTCAACATGGCAGGTCCCAAGCCCTGGTAAAGGAGGAGGGTTGTGATAGGCTTGGCGAGCCAACGTAAAACCTAACCGTTCTATGGCGATGAAACACATGAGAAATTCTTTGGTCGTAACCCTCTTAGCGACGCGCCATATCGGATCCCGGGTATGGTGTCAAATGGGCAAGGGCCGGTCGTCTCCCCCTCGGGGACATGCCATGTCGTGGTTTGGGCATGGTGTTAAGTGAGCAAGGACCGGGTCGTCATTTCCTTAGTGGCGCGCTACATCGACGCCCGGGTGTAGTGGAAAATGAGCAAGGGTCTTCGCATCTCTCTCGACGTGTGCGAAGGGCAAGGAAGCTAGTCGAACCAACTAGGGTCCGTATAGGTAGTTGGAACGTAGGGTCCCTAACGGGTAAGCTATGTGAGCTAGTTGATGCAGCTACGCCTACTAGGAGGCGTGTAAATATCCTGGACGCACAGGAGACTAAATGGAAGGGACAGAAGGCGAAGGAGGTGGAGTATACTGGCTTCAAGTTTTGGTTCACTAGGGCTTCATCGAGTAGGAATGGTGTAGGCATCTTGATCGATAGGAGCCTTAAGGATGGAGTTGTAGATGTTAGGAGGCAAGACGACCGGATTATCCTAGTCCGATTGGTAGTTGGAGACTTGACCATGAATGTGATCAGTGCCTATGCCCCTCAGGTAGATCGTAGTGAGTGCGCAAAGAGGCAATTTTGGGAGGATCTGGATACCTTGGTTAGTACGGTGCCTGCCAGCGAGAAGCTCTTCGTAGGAGAAGACCTAAACGGCCATGTGAGTGCGACTAATGTAGGTTTCGAGAGAGTGCACGGAGGGTTTGGGTATGGTAGTAGGGACGAAGAGGGGAGGGTGTGTTGGACTTTGCGATGGCCTACGACTTGTTGTTAGCGAACACCCTCTTTAGGAAGAGGGAATCTCACCTAGTGACCTTCCATAGTGGACGACACTCAAGTCAGATCGACTTTATCCTTGCAAGGAGGGAGGATAGACGCGCTTGCGTAGATTGCAAGGTGATACCTGGGGAGTGTGTTGTCCCCCAGCATAAGCTGGTGGTGGCGGACTTTCGATTCCGAATACGTGTCCACCGGGACAAACGTGCCAAGACCGTGAGAACGAAGTGGTGGAAGCAAGGGAAAGCGGCGCAGACGTTTAGGGATAGGATGCTATGCGAGGGGCCTTGGGAAGAAGGAGAAGATGCAGATGATATGTGGCTAAAGATGGCAACATGTGTACGGAAGGTGGCTGCAGAAGTACTTGGTCTGAGTAGAAGAGGCAAACAGGAAGCGAAGGACACTTGGTGGTGGAATGACGAGGTGCAAAGGCTATCCAGGAGAAGAAGGAGTGTTTCAAGCGTCTCCACCTTGACAAGAGTGCAACCAACATTGAGAGCTATAAAATAGCGAGAAGGGCTGCAAAGCGTGCCGTGAGTGTAGCGAAGGGTAGGCGTATGATGACTTTTATCAGCACCTAGGCACAAAGGAGGGGAAGAAGGACATTTATAGGATGGCTAGGATTCGGGAGAGGAAGACAAGGGACATCAACCAAATCAAATGCATCAAGGATCGGTCGGATCGGCCGCTGGTGAAGGATGGGGAGATCAAGGACAATTAGCGAGAATACTTTGACAAATTGTTTAATGGGGAGAGTGAGGGTCCTACCCTGGAGTTGGATGACTCATTTGAGGATACCAATAGACGCTTGGTGAGGAGAATTCGGGAGGCAGAGATCGGAGAGGCTATGAAGAGGATAAAGGGAGGTAAAGCAATAGGCCGTGATAATATCCCCATTAAGGTGTGGAGATGCTTGGGCGCCAGCGCGTTAGGGCTAACTAAGCTTTTTAACCTCATTTTTTAAACAAGATGTCTGGCGAATGGAGGAGAAGTACTTTAGTACCGATCTTCAAGAACAAGGGAGATGTTCAAAGCTGTGGTAACTACCGTGGGATTAAGTTGATGAGTCATACGATGAAGCTCTGGGAGAGGGTTATCGAGCATCGTCTACGACGAGTGACGAGTGTGACCCAAAACCAATTTGGGTTTATGTGGAAGGTCGACCATGGAGGCGATTTTCCTAATACGACAGTTGACGGAGAGATATAGGGACCAAAAGAAGGACTTGCACATGGTCTTTATCGACCTTGAGAAGGCTTATGCCAGAGTACCGAAGAATGTCATGTGGTGGGCCTTAGAAAAACACAAAGTCTCATCTAAGTACATTACCCTCATCAAGGATATGTACAATGATGCGATGACGTGTGGCTGAACATGTGGGGGCGATACCAACGACTTCCCAATTAAAATAAGACTACACCAGGGGTCAGCATTGAGCCCTTATTTATTTGCCTTTGTGATGGATGAGGCCACAAGGGACATACAAGGTGATATCCCTTGGTGTATGCTCTTTGCTGATGATGTGGTGCTAGTTGACGAGAGTAGGGCATAGGTAAATAGGAACTTAGAGCTGTGGAAGGACACGTTAGAGTCAAAAGGCTTCAGACTTAGTAGGACGAAGACCGAGTACATGAAGTGCGCTTTCAACATGGCTACACATGATGATGGTGACGTTAGCCTTGACGGGCAAGTGGTGGGCAAGGAGACTTTCCGATATTTAGGATCGATGCTACAAAAGGATGACGGCATTGATGTAGATGTTAGGCATAGAATTGCAGTCGGTTGGTTGAAATGGCGTCAAGCTTCGGGCGTTCTCTGTGATAAGAGGGTGCCACAAAGGCTAAAAGGTAAGTTCTATAGGACGGAGATTCGCCCGGCGATGCTATACGGTGCTGAATGTTGGCCTACAAAAAGGCAACATGTCCAACAACTAAGTGTAGCAGAGATGCATATGTTCCGTTGGTTTTGCGGACACACAAAAAGGGATAGAATCCAGAATGAGGATATTCGAGATAGGGTCGGGGTGGCTCCAATTGAGGAGAAATTGGTTCAATATCGGCTGAGGTGGTTCGGACATGTCCAACGGAGGCCTCCTGATGCACCGGTGCGTAGGGGAGTTCTTCAACGGGTTGATGATGTAAAGAGAGGTAGAGGTCGGCCTAAACTCACTTGGGAAGAGTCGGTTAAGAGAGGCCTTAAAGATTGGAATATCTCCAAGGATTTAGCGGTGGATAGGAGCGCTTGGAGGCTAGCAATCAACGTGCCAGAACCGTAACTTTTGTTCCTTTCTCATTTGCTCCAATCTCTTCCTTTTGTTTTGAGCCCCTTTTTGTGTTTATCTTGCCATTGGTTCTCTTGGGTTTCATCTCTAGCCTACCCCAACTTGGTTGTGACTAAAAGATTATGTTGTTGTTGTTGTTGTTTTTGTTGTAAGTATATAAATATCAAACAAAGCAATTTCTGTAAAACAAGTATATAAACACCTCAATTATAATGAACAAACTCTAGAGCATTTTAGGATAATAAAACCTGTGCGGCCTTCAGAGTCTTTAGAATCCAGAGAAACACCAGCAGACACTATGCTTCTGATATCATCTATATCATCATATCTAGCAGCCTGTCATCACATCAATAATGTCATGTACACGGGTCATTAGCAGCTTCTAATCATGACAAATACTAATTAACATTGTGGATTGTCACTAAAAAACGGTTAATTCAACACTAGCTTCTAACCATGACAAATACTAATTAACATTGTGGATTGTCACTAAAAAACGGTTAATTCAACTCTACCAGTGACTGCAGTGCAGTCACCGGGTTTTTCAGTGTTGGATCAACACACACATACCCAAACAGGTGTGTATTGATATAACGGTAAAAAATTAGGTTGAATTTAACCCTAGAAAACAGCAGGATAAAGAAACAGGCCAACATGGCCATTCTAAATTTCTTAGATTGAGAGAGATCAGAAACAGTTTTAACTCAAGTACACAAGCATTGGGTGGCATTACCAAGAAACAAGCGAATTACAAGGTTCTCAATGCGATTACTTTTTTGTTTTCCCTTTTCTTCATTAAAGTCAATCAAACTAACTCGCAATCAGCCATAAAACTACACGAAGCAGGGTCATTTTAACTAACAGACGAAATTGAGCTATCGCTGGACAAAAAATCAGTAGATCATAAACAAGCTTAAACTGAACTAGAACGTTCTAATGTTTCGAAAAGTTCAAACGAAGATGAATTTGCACGAGTAAACGTATTTTTACTAAAAGAAACAGAAATTAGGAAAATAAGGAATATAATTGACTGGATCATGTAAAGTTGTAGAGTTGTGAGGTCGAGAGTACCTCAAGCAAGGCGTCGATGGTATCCTCCGCCGTGGTATCTTGGCGCGGCGGCTCCGCCGTCTTCTCCTCAGCTCCCATTCTGGGCGAGTGCGTGAACGTGTGTGCGTGTGAAGAGTAATGGAACGGGCCTACTCCAAATGGAGATGAAATGTGTGTTGTGTAGGCTGGGCCCAAAACTGATGTCGTTGACGGGTTAAGGGTTTAGGCTAAACAATGGATTTTCTATCGTACGGAGTATTGGGCCTATCACTTGGGGAAACTCGGTGGAATATAATAAATTCTTGAAAAAATTATACTGTTCACGTATAAATTTTTATTGATACTAACTTTTTATTTTTAATTATAGATATATTATATTTATAGTTTACCGGTGGTTTTTTTTTT